AGGCACCTATTTGAGAAAACTAAAACCATAAGCGACCACAAATGGAAAAAAGATCTAATTGTGTCAATCAAAGCGCTGAAGACGTCCTACGATGGAGGAGATCCAGTCACTGGACTCCAGCAGGGAGATCCAGAAGATGCGCTGGAAATTGATAAGATAGGAAGCCGATTTGAGGAACTGCTGTACTTGAGCGAAGATGAAAGTGAGCAAGAGGAAGAATTATAGATTAACAATTTATTTTTATTACTTTTTGTGCTTTTTATTTTGTTTTTAAATTTATCTGCAACTAAAACTCAATCGATCTAGACTGTGCTGAGGTGTCTGACGATCTTGTGACGTGAGTGACGATCTTGTTCTTCTCCAAGCCTTGCAGCATCTCCAAAAATTTGTAAACCCATCAAATCACTCTAGCCGGGTGATTTTTATTCTTTTTATAATAAAATCAGCGATATTAAAATAAAAAAACAGGTGGTTGCCGTAAAAAAATTTTTATCGTCACCCGGCCGCGATTAATACCGCCCCCCCCCCTTTAACAAAATGCTAATTTGACTTAAATCTTCCATTTTTCGACAAACTTTGTTTATTTTAAACAATTTTTGCTTGAAATTAACCGATTTTTCTTTAACAAAATGCTAATTTGACTTAAATCTTCCATTTTTTTCACAAACTTCGTCTATTTTACGTAGTTTTACTTGAAGTTAGCTTGAAATTACTTTTAAAACATGATAAGTTTACTTAAATCTTTCATTTTTTAACAAACTGGTCTATTTTACTTGAAATTAACCGATTTTTCTTTAACAAAATGCTAATTTGACTTAAATTTTCCATTTTCCTGTTAAAATTTGTCTATTTTAAATAATTTTACTTCAAATTAACTTGGAATTACTTTTAAAACATGATAATTTTACTTAAATCTTTCATTTTTCGACAAACTTTGTTTATTTTAAGCAAATTTTACTTGAAATCAACAGCTTTTCTTTTAACAAATAGAGTGTGTTCCTTGCAGACAACGCGCTTTCTAAAAAGCGCGCGCCAAGGATAAGCTACCGTAACCCTATGTTTTGCATCAGCAAATTTTTCAAAATGCAAATGTACATTAAAATCTTGCGCTCTTTTTTTCTATTACTCTTCCCTTAACTCTATTACTCTTCCCTTAACTCTATTACTCTTTCCTTAACTCTATTACTCTTTCCTTAACTCTATTACTCTTCCCTTAACTCTATTACTCTTCCCTTAACTCTATTACTCTTCCCTTAACTCTATTACTCTTCCCTTAACTCTATTACTCTTCCCTTAACTCTATTACTCTTTCCTTAACTCTATTACTCTTCCCTTAACTCTATTACTCTTCCCTTAACTCTATTACTCTTCCCTTAACTCTATTACTCTTCCCTTAACTCTATTACTCTTTCCTTAACTCTATTACTCTTCCCTTAACTCTATTACTCTTTCCTTAACTCATCGTCGCTTTGTCATTGATTTAGTCGAAACTTTCAAAATCCTCCGTTGTAAACAGATTAGCCCTTTGTTTATAGACTTTTTCAAATTTAAACCGCGGTCAGGGCCCAGAAGTGGCTCATTCCTTTTGCAAATTCCCTTTGCTTCCAATGCCTCTTTATCAAATTCATTTCCCGTTAGAGCCGCTAGATTATGGAACTTGCTCCCAAACGACATACGAGAAATTCAGTCGCTTTTCATATTCAAGAAACGTATCGATGCTTTAGATCTAGTGGCTCTTTGCCGTAAGTAATTGGCTTATTGATTTCAGTATGTATTGTATGATTAAGTATCACTGTGCATTTCTCTATCATTTCTTTCACTTTATCGTTTGAATAAAGTATTATTATTTATATTACTCTTTCGCTAAAACTTAAAAATTTTTAAATGCTATGTAAAATAAAAGAAAACATTTAAAACGGAAAAAGTTAATAAACACTATTAAAAAATTATATTATTTACAAATTTACCAGGCCTATTGTCTACATTTGCACTAGAACCATTCCAAAAAAAAAAATTCCACGCCCTAAAAACCTAAATCCTTAAATAAAACCATCCATTACTATATTTTAAGAAAAGTTTGCAAATTTTTTTTCGCGCGACCTTTATAGCTTTGCTTAAAAAGCGCACCGTTTAGAAAACGCGTTGTCGGAAGTTTGTCGGATCAATTGTCTGACAAAAAAGTTGTCAATGAAAATTTGTCTGACAAATTGTCTGTCAACAAGGAGCACACTCTATTAACAAAATGATAATTTTACACAAATTCTCATATTTTTCACAAAATTTGTCGATTTTCTCTTGATCTTTAAGGCCAAAAAAGTGAAAACAAGGATTTGTGTCGTTTGTTTTTCAAAAAAAGAAAACTTTAAATCGTTTTTCTTTGATTTCAATGACTCAATGACTCAATATTTACAGAAGACTTTCAATCGGTTAGATTCTCCTTTAACAAAATGATCTTCTCGCTTTTCTTTACATTACACAAAGTTTAATCCTTTTCAAATTGAAATCTTCAATAAAATTCACAATTTATCACCTGTTTTCATACAAAAAAAAAGCGCTTTTGAACAACCTTTCAAACTTATCTCTTTCTATTTCACAAAATTTGACGTTAATTATGCTTTTTAAAGTTCTTTAATAGTTTCTAGTGTTGTACAATTCTTTAAATAACGATTTTTCCTTTAAAGATCATCAATTAAATGCCACAGAAATGTGTTTACATTTTTTGAAAGCACAAATCACACAGCTAAAACCGATTCGGTGTAGTAAAAGTTGAAGAACTTTGTGGAAAGCACAAAATTCTACGTTACTTTAGGTTTTTGAAGCTTTAAAACCGAGTTTTTAAGCTTTAAACCGGGTTTTTAAGTCTAAAAGCCGGATTTTAAGTCTTAAAGCCGAGTTTTTAAGCTTTAAACCGGGTTTTGAAGCTTTAAACCGAGTTTTTAAGTCTTAAAACCGGGGTTTGAAGCTTTAAAACCAAGTTTTTAAGCTTTAAACCGGGTTTTTAAGTCTAAAAGCCGGATTTTAAGTCTAAAAGCCGGATTTTAAGTCTAAAAACCGGATTTTAAGTCTAAAAACCGAGTTTTTAAGTCTTAAAACCGAGTTTTCAAGTCTAAAAACCGGATTTTAAGCCTTAAAACCGGGGTTTGAAGCTTTAAAACCGAGTTTTTAAGCTTTAAAGCCCAGTTTTTAAGCTTTAAACTGGGTTTTTAAGTCTAAAAGCCGGATTTTAAGTCTTAAAGCCGAGTTTTTAAGCTTTAAAGCCCAGTTTTTAAGCTCTAAAACCGAGTTTTGAAGCTTTAAACCGAGTTTTTAAGTCTTAAAACCGGGTTTTTAAGTCTAAAACCGGGTTTTAAGTCGTAAAACCGGTTTTTGAAGCTTTAAAACCGGGTTTTTAAGTTTTAAACCGGATTTTAAGTCGTAAAACCGGTTTTTGAAGCTTTAAAACCGGGTTTTTAAGTCTTAAAACCGGGGGCTTTAAGCTCTAAAACCCAGTTTTTAAGTCTAAAAACCGAGTTTTTAAGCTTTAACCCGAGTTTTTAAGTTTTAAACCGAGTTTTTAAGCTCTAAAACCGAGTTTTTAACTCTTAAAATCCACCTTCCTTTTTCGCCAATTTTTTGTGATCTTTTTTCACATCGATTCGATCACTTGTCCAATTCTTTTTTTTTTCCTTTTCTTTCTTCCACACTTTCCCCCTTCATTTTTTCCCCCTTCAAATCCACTTCCAACTGACACTTTTCGATCGCTGCAAAAAAACAATGCTGACGTTTGTCTTTTCGCTGCCACTATTTATCGAATTTACTGATTTTCAGACATCAAAGCTCTGTAAATCGCGAAGTTTTCTATAGCTTTTTAAAAGAGAATTTATGAATTATCTTTCTTTGAATAATGTATACCCCTTGGCACGGTTATCGAACATTTTATACACACGCCGCACCTTTTCCCATCAACAATTTCCCATTAACAACCATTTAAGCTTAAATTTCTTAATTTTGAGCTGTCTAATTTCATTATTCTTTGTTTCATTAGATGCGCCAAGTCTTTCTCTATCGATTGGTATAAAAATGATTTAAATTGGACAGCTCAACCCTAAGAAAATCGAGCTCAAAGTTAGATTGCTAATGGGAAAAGGGGCGTGGCCTCGCGTATAAAAGGTCTCACAATAACCCCGCCTCTTTTGCCATTGGATTAAATGCGCCAAGTCTTTCTCTATCGATTGATATAAAAACCATTTAAATTGGACAGCTCAACACCAAGAAATTTGAGCTCAAAGTTAGATTGGCAATGGGAAAAGGGGCGTGGCCTCGCGTATAAAAGGTCTCACAATCCTTTATCTAAAACAACGAGTCTAAAACAGTTTAAAGTTTGCTTGATGTGCTCAATCTTCTAAATGTTTTCGTGGCTTTTAAAGTGTTATTGTAAAAGAATTGGATGCTGAAAAGAATACAAATCTAAAACCAAGCAAAGCCAGTGTTTTTTTGTATATAAAAGTTTTTAAATTTGATTTCTTTCAGAAAATTTCTGTTTTAACCATCCTTTTCTCTCTTTTTTCTCTTTTTTCTCTTTCTTTTCGTTCTGAAACAATAAAAATAAATTGCTTAAAGCTTTTGGATTGTAAAGTTTTTTGTTTGAAACAAAAAATGATGTCATTTCTGAAATTTTTAACTTCTAACTTTGAAATTTCGGTTTTTTTGCACTAAATTTCGTGTTGTTTTAAATGTTTTTTTAGAGATTTATTGAGATTTATTGAGATTTATTGAGAATTTCTATTGAGATTTCGTTAGAATGAGATAATTTGGTTATGCAACGAGGTTGAATGGGGTTTCAATGGGATTTCAATGGGGTTTTCAATGGGAAAATCCCAATAAGCAAAGAATTTTGAAAAGCTAATAAGCTAATAAGCTAATAAAACGAATTGTTTCTCTGTTTCTCTTGTTTTCTTTTGGATTTCTTCAATTTTCAAGAAGCTTTTTGATTTCTTTCAGTTGAATGCACGGATTATGATATGGGATGCCGACTTTCACGCACAGATTCTCTAGATCGGATCGACGGTGAGTGATAGGAGAAAAAGGAGCGACAAAAAAGCGATTGGATTTTGATCTGATACGGTTCCAATACTGTTCCAATACGGTTCCTATTTTGATCTGATAGAAAAACTAGATAAAAGACCTGTCTGTCGATTTGTGCGCACTACTCCGCGTCCAGTGGACCGTTTCAAATAATTTATTGTTATTTGATCTAATACGGTTCCTATTTTGATCTAATACGGTTCTAATACGGTTCCTATTTTGATCTAATTCGGTTCTAATACGGTTCCAATACGGTTCAAATACGGTTCCAATACGGTTCCTATTTTGATCCAATACGGTTCCAATACGGTTCCAATACGGTTCCTTTTAAGGTTCCAATACGGTTCCAATACGGTTCCTTTTAAGGTTCCAATACGGTTCAAATACGGTTCCAATACGGTTCCTTTTAAGGTTCCAATACGGTTCCTTTTAAGGTTCCAATACGGTTCCTATTTTGATCCAATACGGTTCCAATACGGTTCCAATACGGTTCCTTTTAAGGTTCCAATACGGTTCAAATACGGTTCCAATACGGTTCCTACTTTGATCTGATACGGCTCCAATACTGTTCCTATTTTGATCTAATACGGTTCCAATACGATTCCAATCCAATACGGATCGACGGTGAGTGATCTCACAAAAAGGAGCGACAAAAAAAGCGACTACGCGACTGTACGCCCCTAATTACGACGATGGCATTCGATTAGCGGACAAGCAGTAAAAAGCAAAAGAATTAGCGGTTCTTTTCCGTTTGTTTGAGAGGATTTATGCTTAAAAAGATTTAAATAAAAAAGTTTGGACCTTGACGGGAATAGAACCCGAGACCTCCTTAGAGCGATCGTTTTGTAAACGGAACCGCCTCGACCATGCCTCTGATGGAGAACTAAGGTCAAAAAGGGGTTTTCTACGGTCCATACGATTCTGGTTCGACATTTCAATGCTTCTGATGGGGAACTAAGGTCAAAAAGGCCATGGCTAAGTGGTTTTTCTCATTTTTTACGAGTTTTTCATGAAAAACCTTTTTTTGACGAAAAAGCAAGTATCTATTCATTTTTAATTCCCTGTCAATTAAAAAAAGTTTGTTCAAATCGGTTCACGGGGAGCCGAGATCCAGCTTGTGAGGGATGGACGAACGAACATCCCATTAACAACCATTTAAGCTCAATCAGGCGGACATCTTTCTGTTATAGATAATAGATTTTGATTCATTGAATGCTTTCCCTTCATAGTTTCCTTTTTATCTTAAAGTTTAAAGCATATAAACCAATGTTTCGCTTATAAAACAAGCTTTTAAAAGCTTATTTCAAGAGATGTCTCTCGTTTAAAGAAAATCAATAAATTTAGGCTTTAGATTCATCTTTGATAGATTCATTGATATTCATCCTTGATAGATTCATACTTTGATTCATCCTTGATAGATTATGATTCATAGATAGATCCTTGATAGATTATGATATGATTCATCCTTGATAGATTCATACTTTGATAGATTCATTGAATGCTTTCCCTTCATAGTTTGCTTTTTATCTTAAAGTTTAAAGCATATAAACCAATGTTTCGCTTATAAAGCAAGCTTTTAAAAGCTTATTTCAAGAGATTAACTTTCTCGTTTAAAGAAAATCAATAAATCTAGTCAAAAAAAAGCTGAAATCACCTGCTTTTTGCCGGTTTTAAAGCGTTCAATCTCGACTTTTCAATCTCTACTTTTAGTTCAAATATTCAATTCTAGACTAAAATTGAAGTTTTATCTCTAAAATCAAAGCTCTAAGTGAAAGATGTCGATTCGTGATAAGAATGATGAATTTAGAGGTGAATTTAAAGGTGAATCAAGACTTTTGAAACAATACAATTGCCAAATTTGCCAAATCTCTTAAAAAGCGACTTTTATAGTGAATTAGATTGTAAATTTGTCTAATTTCCTTCAAATAAACTCGTTTTTAAGTGAAATTTTCTTAAATTTGACCTAAAATTGACGTTAAATTTGACCTAATTTGACCTTAAAGTAGGGAAAAATCGCAAAAATCGCAAAAAATTGAAATAAACAACTTTTTGAGCTTTTTTTACTTGTTCAATCTTTTCATCAATAAGTTCAAAAAGCTAAAAATCTGCTTGAAAGGGCTAAAAATCTGCTTGAAAAAGCCAAAAAGCTAAAAATCCCCTTCAAAAAGCTAAAAAGCTTTAAACGCTTTAACCTTAAACGCCAAAAAACAAAAATTCGATTAAATCTAATGCTACTTGAGTTTGGGGAAAGGATTTCTGAGAAAATCTGAGAAAAATCTCATTTTATTGAGATGTTGAAGCTGATATTTCATAGAAATCAAGGTTGTTTTTAGTTTTTTAGCTTTTTTTAGCTTTTTTTAGCTTTTTTTAATCTAAAACAATTGATTATTTCAATTTTTAATTTTTTCTTTTTAATTCCAGAGAAGAGCGAACCCCAAGTGACAACCCCATTGACCCAGAGCAACAACAAAGCTCAAACGAACGAGAAAAGAACGAATGGGACGAGTGTTTTGACGAGAAGGGACACACCGCAGACATTGCCGTTGAACGAGACAAGGTTTGTCGGGGTAATGGATACATTGCACGTCTTTACAGGGTCTTACAGGAATACAGGGTGACCAAGAATTACCGCAACACAAAAAAGGCCTGGCTTTTAACCAAATATCCAACCCATCTCGAAAAGTTAACTTAAATATCTTTATTCAACATATAACAGTAACAAATTCTGGGGATATTCAGGCGCTTTGAGAGGCGCTTCAGGCGCTTCAGGCGCTCGACTGAACGACTGAACGCTCGACTGAACTGCCGCTTGAGCTCAAGGCTTAGGTCTTTTTGCTTGCCCTTCACAGCAGCTGATAGTAATTGAGATTTGTTCTTCTTGTACGGCTTCATTTTCAGTTTTTTCTTCATAATTGTGTTGACGGAGCTTCTCTTCAGACTTCAGACTTCAGACCCATTTTCTGTGCCATTCCTCAAGCCAATTGGTTAGGGTTTAATCTTAGACGATCGAGCACTTGACATTAGCCGGAGTAACCGCTGTTCGTTTTGCAACTCTTCCAGGGCGATCAGAAACTTTGCCCAGAGTTTCATAACGTTGAATGGTTCGAGAAACGAGGCTTCTGGGAACATTCAGGCGCTTTGAGATGCGCTGAGATCTCGCTCGCCTGAACACGCTGCCGCTTGAGCTTAAGGCTTAGGTCTTTTCGCTTGCCCTTCGCTGATAGTAATTGAGATTTGTTCTTCTCGTACAGCTTAATTTTCAACTTTTTCTTGATGATTGTGTTGACGGAGCTTCTCTTGAGCTTCTGTCTTGTTTTCTGTTTTGTTTCCTGTTTTGTTTCCGTTTTGTTTTCCGTTTTGTTTCCTGTTTTGTTTTGTCTGTTTTGTTTTTCCAAAATGCTTGCCAGTTTCAGAAACAAATTTCCCATAGAAAAAAACAGAGAAACAGAACAAAAAAGTTAAAAAATTGTTGAGGAGGGAGTCGAATTCGGACCAAGAGCTTTGTAACCGAGAGCACTACAGCTACAGCTAAGCACTACAGCTACAGCTAAGCACTACAGCTACAGCTACAGAGACCCACTTCCCCTTCAAGCAAAGAAGACTTACAAAGGAATAGCTAAGACTTTGAAGCTAAATTCATTGTAAAAAGAAAGCGGTTAAACGGATTATTCTGAAATTTTCTTTGTAAACCTACTTTTTATCCTCTATCTTTTTGATTTTATCATCAAAATAGGTTTCATTGAAAGAAACGGCCCATTGAAAGTGTTATTTTATTGAAAGAATCATCAAAACTTGTCATTTTTTAACACTTAGCTTCTTACTAATAAAAAAAGCTTTAAAACAGCTTTCAGAAACTTTCAAAAGAAATGATTGAGCTATTTAATGAAAAAAGCTGTATTTCATTTGGTAGACTTCTTCAATTTGAAAATGAATTTCGGTGAAAGACTTACTTAACTGTACAAGTTCTAGGACCGACCCATCCACCAATGGCACCACAACCGGCATTCTTGCCTCGAAACCGATTGGGTTTGTTTTTCATTCTTTTTTTAAACCTTTAAATACCCAGGCAAAGATATTTAAGGCATTTATAGTTAATCGAGTTCATGAAAATTTGGATTTCGGTTTTTCCCATATTCAATACAAGTGGAAAACGCTCTTTCTTTCTTTCAAATGACTAAAACTACTGTAATCCATGCCGGCTTCCTTTTTAAAAATTGATCTATAAGTCAGATTTCCCATAGCTGAAAATTAGAGTGTCTTCCTTTCGACTAACGCGTTTTCTAAAATGCACCTATTTGAGAAAACCACAGTAGTCAAACTGCCGATTTACATCCGATCAGCTCAATTTTGGTATCATTTGATGAGGAATCGCAGGAAACAGACAGGCAGACAGACGGACAGACAGGCAAACAAACAAACAGACAGACAGACAGACGTCTCTTCTGCTTTTTATATAGTAGATTTTCAGTCTTTAGTTTTTTAGTCAATATTTTCCGTTCTTTCTACTTTTTCCTAGAACAAAGCCATGGTAGAAATCACGTACTACAAACCCTATTCGGTTTTCTGATCCATAAAAAATCCTAACTAGATGTCAGTCCTTTACTTGTACATTAACCTGGCTTACAAGTCCTAAACGCCTAAGACATTCCTGGTTAGACTAGATTAAGCCTGTCTAGCTTAAGTGTTTTTGTGAGTCAAATCGGGTTAGACCCTGGCCGAGCAGGGTTTTGATTTGATCAGATTCTGATCAGATCAGATCAGATTCTGATCAGATCAGATTTAAAACCAGGATGAGTCTGATCGAGTTTTCTGACCCTTTTGACTGATCTTACCCGGCTTCACCTCATCTTCCCAAAACTAAAATGTTCCAAAGCTTAAGCCTAAGCCTAAGAAAGGCTATTTTCTAAAAATTAGGAAAACGGATGGACAAAAAAAATGAAGAACCCAGGCAATTAGGTAGAAAATGGAGATGGTGAATGGGGAAAAAAGGATGAGATGAGGAAAGGAGATGAGGAAAGGAGATGAGGAAAGGAGATGGAAAAGGAGATGAGGAAAGAGATCGGGTGTTCAGTTTTCTTGTCTAGATGAATAGGGTTTGAAAGAAAATAAAGAGAAAAAAGACAAAAAAGACAAAAAATTGGGGAAAAGAGACGCAATTACTTCTTTGGTCTTTTTCCGCTTTTTGCTCATCTCATTCACTTTCATCTAAAGCCCAAAAAGATGGGGTTTATCGATGGGGCTTATAGATGGGCTTTTTTGAAAGATACGGAAAACTAGGGACTAGGGGGAAGAGCTAAGTACTTTGTGTTTGGTAATTTGCAAACGCATTCCTCTTGGCACACTTCATTTGTCGTTTTTTGTGCAAAGTAGTGTACTAGAACTGTGCGTTTACAAATTTTTAAGTGCAAAGTACACTAGTTAAAGGATTAAAGCTGAATATTTTTTACATTTCTTTTAGAGAAATCGAGAGCGCGAGTCAAGCGGATTTCTTCCGGATGTTAGACGAGAAAATTGCGCATGTAAGAACAATTTTGTAGATTTGTAGAGTTAAAAAGGAAGAAAATATAATAATCTAATAATTAACTATCGTAAATACTGTAATAGTACCCTATCCCGATAATGACGGTGTGGAGTGTTGCGTAGTCTAGCTTTGAACGTTTTTTTTTTTTAAAAAAAAAAAAAAGTTTTTTTAAAAAAAAAAAAAAGGAAAAAGAGGAAAAAGAGGGGGGGGGGGGGGGGGGGGGGGGGGGGAAAAAAAGTTTTTCTCGACACTGGTTTATGCTACAATGCTCGTTTAGGTATCAAAAAATAGCTGAAATTCAGAGCTATTTTTTGATACCAAAGACGCATTTTTTGAAAGTACGGGTGCTTTGAAAAAAATGAAATACTAAAAAACGTCTACGCGACTGTACGAGGGCGGTGGGGTACTATTACAGTATTTACGGTAAGTATTAAATGTACAATATGTTCAAATTTCAAAGCTAAATTCAACTTTTATAGGGTCGAGTTCTCGACGAAACCCCATCGGACAACGAATAATGAAAAAAAACCTCGAATTTTAAGAATTTATGCCAAATCCTTTTTTTTCCTGTTATTTCCTAGTTTTTTTCTTTCATTTCACAATCCCGGTTCACTTTTTTCTGTCAAAATCAATTGAAAAATGAAAAAAAATCAGCATCTCATCACGTGTATTTGCATATTTTAAAGGTTATCGGAAATTTGATAAACGTCCCACCTCTTTTCCCATTAGCAATCTAAATTTAAGCTCAAATTTCTTGATGTTTAGCTGTCAAATTTCATTATTCTTGGTTTCATTAGATGCGAAAAGTCTTTCTCTATCGATTGATATAAAAAACATCTCAATCGGACAGCCCAACAACAAGAAATTTGAGCTTAAAGTTAGATTACTAATGGGAAACGGGACGGGGCGCGTATAAAAGGTCCCACAATCGCCTCGCTCCTTTTGCTAACCCAACTTTGAGCTCAATTTCTTGGTATTGAGCTGTCAAATTTCATTATTCTTGGTTTCATTAGATGCGAAAAGTCTTTCTCTATCGATTGATATAAAAAACATCTCAATCGGACAGCTCAACACCAAGAAATTTGAGCTTAAAGTTAGATTGCCAATGGCAAAGGGGCTGGTCAATCAAATGTCCCACAATCTATTTTGAACGTACGTTTAAACGATCGGTTTCATATGAAATAAATATTTATTGATTAAATGCAAAGCCTGAGACGATTTGAATAGGCAAAGAAGGACTACCCAATGAAATGGACCAGTGGAATGGATTAATGAAATGAAATGGAGTATAGAGGAGGATGAGACACTTCGCCGTAAGACATTTCGCCGTAAGAAACTTTGCCCTAAATATATAGCCATATGTACAAGACAATTTAACGCTTTTCCGCAGTTTTTGCCTTTTAGCCCAAATTTGACGTGTCAGCGAGGTCTGATTTGTCGAAATTCGGAATCTACGCATACGATTCCCGATATGGAAATATTTTTGAAGCTCTACGACTTTTCCTAAGGCCTTTTCCAGCAAAAAAAAGGTGCGCAAATGTCCAGGTGCGCAAAAAAAGGTCGCATTTGTCCCACCCCCCTTTTGAATAGATTAGGCATTTGCTTAGATACTTTTCCAAAAAGTTATCGCTAGAATTCGCCCTGTAGATAGCCTTGGTTACTGTAATCTGTGTAGCAAAAAATACCGATTCTATTTGTTCCTAATCCTTTCTCAAACGATAAAAGATTTTGCGGCGATTTCCTTCATTTCAACCTAATATTAAGTACTTCCGATCAACTAATAAGAATCGCTAAGCCGAAAGTTAACTGTTTAAAGCCGCGGGGTAGGCTAATTTCCGCCATTTTCTTTGCGCAACTCGCCATAACTTTCTTCTAAGTCATCCAATCTTTATGCTTTTGGTTTCATTTTGTAGATCTCAATAAGTACAACAAAATGAGACCAAAATCATAAAGATTAGCCGACTTAGAAGAAAGTTATGGCGAGTTGCGCAAAAGACCTAGTGGCGCAAATGACCCAGTTGCGCAAAAAATTCGCAAAGTAGCCTATCCCAAAACTCTCAATTAAAACTATCAACGCTTTTGCAGTTGAAGAACTTCATGAAGAACTTTGGGCACTTTGTTATCACTTTCCACTATCGATCAAGCATGGAAAACCCTCAAAAATTGCAAAACTTACTCATTTTTATACAGTTTTTCTTTATTTTTTAAAAAAAATGTCGTTTTTTTCACTTTTTACTTCAGTACAATATTCTGATACTTGTCTTTGTATGGCTTTTAACATTTCCTTGTACATAACTCATTGATTTCAGAAATTTTCCTTTAATTTAAAATATGAAGTTTATATATTTTATGATTTGCATACAAGGTTTCTTTCTGGCGAGGAAATTGAATAGTAATTCGTTCACTCGTCATTTGTATTCGCGTGTTCTTGCTCCAAATATCGACGTTGCTTTTAAAAAAAGTGCAAAAGATGAGCACAAGTCTTTAAAAGTCCCAAAAGTCTTTAAAAAAAACTCCGCTTTTCATGCTAAAGCGCTTAAAAGTTTGAAATTTACGTTTAAACAAACGATTTTCTTGTATAGTTTCTTGTAATTTTCTTGTAAAAAGCCATAGATTTTAACTTTGGCAGGGTAAAGTTGAGAAAAAGCTATGGTTTTTAGGCTTGACAACGGGTTTCCACGCTAACAAACGATTTTCTTGTGCTTGTTTCGATTCGCCTTTTTTCTAACAAATGATTTTTGAACTTTCTATGTTTTGAAGGATTGCTATTCATCTTTATGTGATGATTTGATTTTTCTAGAAACGGGTGATTGACCGGTTGATTGATTCAGCCGATTTTCCGGCACGATGCGACTCTTGCGGCCCACCGAAACCCTTCCGCTCTATCAACAAGACCTCGACGGTGATCATTCCCGCACAATCACCCGGATAAGAAGGGTTGGTTTGAAGGTTGTTTGTTTGATTTGGCATGTAACGATTAAGGTTTACATATCATAAGGTTGAAATTTGGCAACTGTTTGTTTTGTTTTTGCACTCTTATAAGCTAAAGTATTGTTTTTAAAGCGTTTGCTATCAAGTTTTAGAAAAAAATACTTAAAGATGAGGATAAGGAGGCTTTTACCGCTTTCAGAGTGTTAAAATCTCATCCATATTGGTTAAAAGTTTACCCTTATGCTCTGTAAATCTGTACGAAACTTTGATTTAGAGATTTTAGAAAGAAAAGAACTTAAAATTTGAAGATTTAAACGTAAATCAATGGGTAAATGTTGCCTTTTTTCTATACGGATCTTCAAAAAAATTGATTTACGGATAAATCAGTTCCTACAAGCATGATAGCATGTTTTGATTATCCAATTTCATGAAAAATACAGCTACTCGGCGTTTGTGCTTCTTACAAGCTTCACGAGCGACATTTTTCTCCCCAAACAAGTCGAAAAGCAGCCAGTTCTCAAGAACAACCTCATAGATTCATCGAAAGAAACCGGTTTTTTTAGAAACTCCCTGCAATTATAAGCGGCGCTCCATGTGTTCTTGTGGCTTTCTCACCACCAAAAATAATAAAACTATGTTTTGGCCATTTGTTCATTTTTTGAACTAAGAAGACCGGAAATTTGTTTCCTAGCAGGAAATTTGAAGAAAACTGACTGATACTTTCGCTTCCCACATAAAATATTCCCTGTTTAGCGGAAATTAGTCGAAAGTTTTGCTAGTTATTCCACTTTTTCTTTTCGCAAATGCCGACTGTTAGATTCCGACAGAATAAATGCTCGATTAAATCTCGACTTTATCACGATTCGCATAAAGCTTTTAAAATGATCGAGGCGTTGCTTTGGGTCAGTGTTTTAGGAACGGATTTCTTTTTAAGGACCTCTTTTCAACTTGGAATTTAAAGCTAAACTTTTATTTTAGCTTTGGCGATCGATGCCCCGGTACATTCGGACGGTGTTGCCGTTGTTCTGCTTGGCCACCTTCTTTGCACTCGTCTACGCACTTGGCTCATCACTGCCCACTGAAAGCATCGAGACAAATGAAGCCGATTTTCAAAAGTTCCAGAGAAAAGAGGTGAATCTATTTGTTCTGATAGGGCTTTAAGAATTTCCGGTACTATCCTGTTATACATCCCATTAGTTTTTATGCATCGTTTTGAGACCTTTTGAGAACCTTTTGAGAGAAAAACCTTTTGAGACAAGACCTTTTGAGAAAAAGTGTTGATAGTTTAAGTATCAGATTTGTTTAGATTATAATTTCAGAAAAAAAAGGTACTTTAGGTAAGCATACTCATAAAGTACGTAACACATTATCATAGATTTAATCCAGTTAGTTGTTAAAGTATTAGGTTTTATAATAGGATAGTACCAAATTTCCCTTTTGCATCAGTTGGAGAATTAAAACGTAGCTGGTAGTGAAAGTTCGAGATATCCGTTATGTTACAGCTTTTCTCAATGTTCTTATCTCCAATTACAAAGTATTTATTTTAGCCAAATATCCCACAGGATTACGCGCAACCTAACGAACATGTAGCTGGAGTTGACAACAGTGCCGCCGGAGTTGACGAGAGCAATGGCAAAAGCGAAGAAGGAGCAATAAAATTCACAGGTAAATATGGTTTTGTAAATTGATATATTGTTGGCATTTAGGCCCCAAAAACGATCGCCAAAAAGCAGTTGCTGGTGCCTTTAAACATGCCTGGGATGGATATAAAAAGTGGGATACTTGTGACTATTTTATAATTAGTCAATTTCTAGATACGCTTGGGGACATGATCAGTTGAAGCCGCAAACTCGTACCTATTCGGATTGGTTCGATACGGGTTTAACGATCACCGATGCCTTGGACACAGCGATCATTATGGGCTTGGAAGATGGTTGGATACTACTGTTTTTCAAAAAATCTGGCAGACTCAACCATTTTATATTAGCTTACCTACATTTTTCAGAAGTTCGAGAAGGAACTGAATGGATTGAGAAATCGTTGAGCTTTGATAAGGATCGCTATGTGAATCTCTTTGAAATCACAATTCGTGTTATGGGAGGATTGCTAACGAGTTTTCATCTAACAGGCAATAAGGTACCTATCTAGTTTTTTATACTTGCAATATTGTTGATTTAGATGTTCGTAATACGTGCAGAGGATCTCGCTGATAGATTGCTTGGCGCTTTCACCGGCTCAAAGTCTCCAGTTCCATTCAGCGATGTGAATTTGAAAACGAGGCTAGTTTTAAATTGAATGCACAATGACAAAGTGAAAGTGCCATTTTTTTCAGAGCCGCTCGTGGTCCTTCTTGGAGCTCCGAAAGCAGTCTCTCTGAAGTCAGCACTTTGCAAATGGAATTCCGTGATTTGAGTCGAATTACTGGAAACGCAACTTTTGAGGTTTGGATTTCGTCATTTTGTCGTACTCTTTCGTTTTAGAAAACGGCTTTCAAAGTCTCCGAACACATTCACGAAATTGGATGTGCTGCACATGACGGTCTTTGTGAGATGTTTATCAATGCGAACACTGGGAGATTCAGAGGTTGGATCGAAATCATTTTATATTTTTGTTTCCCATTTTAGAGAAGACAACAATTACTTTTGGAGCTCGTGCGGACAGTTACTACGAATATTTGTTGAAACAATGGGTTCAAACAGGGAAAACGATTGAATGGTGAACTTTTAGAGAAAACTTTTATCTTTGTGCTCAGGTTGGCCTCCGATTACCAAGAAGCAATGGCTTCAATGGACAAGAAAATGGTTAGATTGAGTGAACCAAACAAGTTGCTCTATGTTGGTGAACTACTGCCACCGTCAGATTCATTTTCACCAAAAATGGTAGGAAGTATTTTTTTATGAAGCTTTTTTATCAATTTCTGTTTAGGACCATCTTGTTTGCTTTTTATCGGGAACTCTTGGCCTTGGAACTAAAAATGGGATGCCACCAAGACATATGGAGATTGCTGAGGTATTTTAACATCCCCAGGAAAATTCATGTCACCGTTGCCAAGTGCTAAGATTTGATATATCATTGCTAAAAATGGGTTTGAATATTTGATTTACAATTTCTAGGGTCTTGCTGCTGCTTGTCATGCCATGTACCAAACACCGACTGGTTTGGCTCCGGAAATCGCTTACTTCAACATGAACAAGGAACAACAAAGTGACCTATCGATTAAGGTATTTTTAAATTTTTTCGAGACAGATACTGCAGCAGTTTACGTTGATCATGCAGCAGTTTAGGTTGATCAATTTTAGATCAATTGTTTTTTAGCCATTGGATGCTCATTGTCTCCTTCGCCCAGAAGCAGTCGAAGCCTGGTTTTACATGTATCGATTCACGGGTGACAAGAAATATCAAGACTGGGGCTGGGAAGCTTTTGAGGTAAAATTTATGGGTTCATTTGTGGAATTTCTTGATTGTAGGCCATCGAAAAGTACGCAAAGCTGGATGTCGGCTACTCGAGTGTGAACAGTGTGAAGAAAATTCCAGTGACTTACAAGTAAGTTTAAAGTTTAAACTGACAGAATTCGAAATGCAGCTAAAGTCGCATGAAAAACTTTAATTACTCTATTTTCAGGAATATGATGGAATCGTTCTTCTTGGCCGAGACGTTGAAATACTTGTACCTTCTGTTCGACGACGAAAAGGAGCTGATTCCACTTGACAAATGGGTTTTCAACACAGAGGGACATCCATTGCCAATCTACAAAAATTAGGTATTTGAATGATATTAATAGGATATTCGATGTAATACAACGAAGCCTTATTGTTATTTTTGCATATGTAAATTTAATGCCCTGAGATTTTCGCTATGATTCTTTGAATGATGAATGATTTTTCCCTGCTACTGCTGCTGTCTAGTCGAACTGTGATCCATCTTTGAAAATTTGTCGCATTCGGGTTTTTTGCTGTTATTGCCTTTACGAGAGAATGTACCCCGTTTCCTTTCGGCTCAAAAACACTTTTGTCACAGACCAATTCTTTTTGCTTCTTGTGTTTGGTTTTCTGAAAGGTATTTCTTACATTCCAAGTTTGACATTGCCTGTTCTTTGTATATAAGCAATAAAAAGTATTCACGAACAAGGTTTAAGTCAGTTTGAACTTACTTACAGTTAACTTTTAAATATTTCGGTACTTTGTGGGTTAGGGGGCCAGCAAAATTTCTGATTTTTTCAATCGAGTAATCGAGGGTGTTGAGCACGAATTTGACCGTTTTAACATGGGTCTTCAGCTGACAACTTTAAACAGAGAAGGAAAATTATTTCGTACCATAAATCGAACCGGTCGATATTGAAGCTGTAACTACCTGATAACTCTATTAGAACACTAGTAGTATCAGTTTCTGGTTTGACCTGGCTAAAAACCCGATTCGAACATTCCTGGATGAGACCATTTTGATACTAGTACCAGTCACTAATATGGTACAAGGTCTAGTATTTGATACAAATGGATCTCATGGTCCTGACACTGGAGTCTAACTAATTGTAAGCCTACTAGCCAACATTTTACGATAAGTCTAGTAATAAATAAGCACTACAAGAACAAGAAATATATTGCAGTATGGTCATTCTGTACTTGGTATAGTGCCGCTCAAGGTTCACAATGGAGTTTAGAAAGTATCCCCGAAGTCGGTTCACTACAATTGGAATTCCGAGATTTGAGTAGGGTTATCGGATATGAATATTTCGAGGTATAGGTCAGTTCAATTAAAACCTATCACTTAGCGCTTGTTGCTTTCTGGAAGCGGCTGTTAACGTCTTAAAAAATATCCACGCAATTGGTTGTGATGGAGGGCTTTGCGAAATGTTAATCAATCTAGCGACTAGGCTTTTTACAGCTTTTAGGCTAACAAGGTTGAAAAAAGCAAACAAAACAAACAAACCAGAAACAAAACAAAAACAAAAATTCAGGCTAAAGTGCTAAAAGTAAAATTAGAGACATGAGTGCGGTAGTTTTTAAAAGTTTAAAAGTTTTAACCACTTCAGCTTATACCAAAAGGTACCATGAGTGACGAAATTTACTAAATGCTCAAAAGTAATTCATGAAACAAAAAAAATCAGATGCCACTACACTTTAGTGGCATTTTGTACTAGTCACGATGACTGGGTACCTAAGTTTTTTTGAAGCTTTGATAGACAGAACAAAATCAGATTTAAATCATAACTTTCTTCTGAGTGGACCGATCTTTATGTTTTTATTATTTTTAAACGGACAGAATCAGAAATGCAGCTAAAGTCGCATGAAAAACTGAAAAAACTCTCAACAATGTTGAGAGCAGCAAAATGACACTAACATCATAAATATTGACACACTCAGGAGAAAGTTATGGCCAATTGTGCAAAAAATGTTTTTAGTCGATTGTGTTTCTTTTCTTACCTTTGTTTTCAGTAAGTCAAAAGATTTAGACAATTAACTGAATATTTTGATATCACAAAAATCATTATAAAAGCTCATGCGTTTATAGTTCTCATAGTTTTTTCATAATTCATAATTTTTCATTTCATTCAGAATTTCGTGGGTATTTTGTAAAGTTCATTCGTTCATATCCCCCTCTATACGATAAAAGAACCCCATTTTATCCTCGTTACGATAAAAGAACCCTGTTTTATCTAAGAAAAAATTAAAAACTTACCAAGGCGAAGTACAAAATTCCACCTAAGTGTAGTAGCATCTGATTTTTTTTTTGTTTTATGAATTATTTTTGAGCATTTAGTAAACTTCGTTATTCATAGATCACTTTTTTGTTTCATGTTTTATGTTTTGGAAAGTTCATGTTGTGTGACCATTCAATTTTTATCAAATTTTAGTAAGTACAAAATGTGCAATTTTTTGAATAAGTTACCCTTAAATTTATAGTTTTATTTGCTGCAGCTTATGTGCGCGTGCTAAGTGTATGCGTAAAACATTGGTGCACGATTTTAACTAGCAGCAATACCTACTTTTGAGCGCAAATGCAATCCACTCTTAGGCTCTATTCTTTTGAAATATGTTTCTTTACTCAAAAATTTTATTTACTTAATTATTTTTTATCTTTAGTCGATATTCGCTCGTTTTTTGCTGGATAATTGCAAAAGATGGGTGGGATCACGCAACAAAAGGCGAACGCTGGAGCTGCCGTTCGAAAGCGTGAGTTTGTTTTCTAACATTTCTACTTGCTAAGTAAGCACTGCTCTCCAGTTGCCTAGTTGTAAAATGTATGTAGTTTGCCTAGATGACATGTAGCTGAGTATAGTATTAGGTTGATGAATAAGTCTTTTTGTACTCTCGTTTAAAACCAACTGTACTTTGGTGGTTGGGAGGGGCCACTTTTATTCGTGCTTAGTTTGATCTAAAGTTTTGAATGGTTGTATTGTTCTTTTATTTATTCTAGGGTAATCAAATATGCTTAATAGATTGGTAACTATTTTAGCAATTTTTGACAATTCTAGCCTAATCTCATGTACTTTAACCACCAAACGCTACCTCAAAGCTGCGTACACTTGAAAATCAGATAAAAGCGGTAATATGAGACTTGAAACATGATGTAAACGCTTCAAAAATATAAGCATATTTGATTACCCTAGAATAGGCAGATAAAAAGTATCAATAAAACCACTTAAAACATTAGATTCAACTAAGCCAGGATAAAAGTGGCCCCTCCCAACCACCAAAGTACTAAAACGGGTTTCAAATGTCTTATGTCTGGATTTTTTTTGGGAGTGTGAAGTCGGGTAGTCAAAAAGGGTGACGGCTCGAAGATGCGGTTTAGACACTTTAGCTAAAGGAAACCTATCTTATAAATAGATAGATAAAAGATGATAAAGGATAGAGCATAAAAAGTTTAGTATATAGCCAAATTTTCAGAAAATTGCATGCAGCCAATTTCTTTGTGGAGGTTTTTATAGATTTTTACGAAAAATACATTTTCAATCTCAAATTTCCTTGAAATTGAACCCGAATTGACTTACAAAGATGGAAATTGAAAAATAAACGTTTTTATTTAAAGAAAACCAACTTAATTAATGTTAATTAATTATTTTTCAAAACCAAGTATGAAGAGAAAAGCTTTGTGCCATAAATTCTTTTATTGTACGACAATTGTTGATTCTAAAGTCAATTCAAATTATGAATCGAAAATATATAACAGTTTTAGGACTTAAATTTGAATGAATAGAAGAATTTGAATGAATAGGAGAACTAGATAAAGTTTATCCCTCTTGAAAAATAACATAAACCTTGCTAAGATTTTAAAAACTTTTTCGGAAAGGGTCTACAGGGTGCGGCATACGTATGGTTACAGACTCAGAACCGTGTATCGTAATGAAATATGAACGGATTCATGTAAACTTTATTTATTTAAAATTAACAACAGTAATCATATTCATTTAAAAAATAACAAATTATTCAAGATGGGCACCTTTATTCTTGATAACGGCTTTAAGACGCTTTCCACGGCGGCACGCAGGGTACTTTGTGGAATTTTCGCCCAGGCTTTCTTCAGAGCCTTTTTCAGACTTTCAACATTTGCATGTTTTGTTGTGCATGCTTTTTGCTCCAAAATTGCCCAAACACATTAATTAATGTTGCAACTTTGTAACCATACTTATGCCGCACTCTGTAGATTATTCTAGTTTTAAATGTAGTAGAACGAAATTTGTATTGTTTCCTCATCTGGTCGTATTTTTAAATTTAGCACCGGAGGTAAAGAAATTACCCTCGCACAGTCTTTTTGCTATAACTTGGTCGCTAATCACCGAATAACTTTGTAATTTTGGCATTAAGCTTGTAAGTTTTTGAGAATAATCCACTTAAAATTTAATTCAAATATACTGATTCTACGCTGAGATATTAGCAATTTAAGAAAGGGTCAAGACTTAATTTACAACCTAATACCAATTCCCTCCCTTCAAAATTGCTAGGAGGAAGACCAAACAGACCAACCTTTTATTTTAGTGGCAACGGATCGTGAGATTGAAGGTTTGACTTCGAAATTACGACGATTATCACTTGATGACCCTGAATCTGAGAGAGCCGCCCTCGTTCAGAGGTAGATATAGTTTTCACGTGCTCTCCCTAACTGTTAGCAAATTATTATTTAGCATTTCAAGCAAAATTCGATCTGCCCGCCGATCAGCTCGACGCTCACTGGGTTCTTTCCCTACATGCCACGTTGAGAAGGATGATTTAGTACGCATCAAAGAAGCATTGTTTCAAGCTCATCTCACGTCAGGTATTCTACAGCGAGCTTCTGTGCTAATGGTGCTAGTTTTTTCTATAGATTCATTTTAGACGAATCTGCGGTTCGATCTATTTCTGTCGCTGCGAAAGAAATAGGAAATGGGCTACGGGCAAACTATGGAATACGTACACGTTCAATGGCTTCCAACCGCTGCCAGCTAAGCGTCAATCAAACAGAAAAAAAACTCGAAGATCTCGTTGCAAGAATTGATGAGAATGAAGTAAGGGCCCTACTACATGATAACTTGCATTTTACTATGAATTTAGCTTGCTCAATGTTGCTCTCGGGCTGGTTTGCCGCTAGAACTTGCAGATGTTGGTGGAAAAGATTATGCGTTCGACATTATCAACTATTCTCTTCACAACCAGGTACTTACTATATTCTGATTAGATAAGATTTAGAAAATAATAGAATGATTTCTAAAATAAAAGCTACAAATAAATATGTTTCTGTTCTCTTTGTAGCATATTTAACATGAGTCTTTTTAAAAAAATGAAAACTCAACACGGCCTTCTTAGATGCCATGCGAAAATGTTGCTTCTCAATTTCCTGAGATTAAACGAGCTCGAATGGTTGATTGGATTTTCTGTATCTCCCGTGTGGTCAGGGTACCAGATGAATCGTATTTTTTGGCAGTACATCTGCTAGATAAAGCACTACTGGTTAGTTTATGATATTTTTACCTAATAGAAATTTTTTAGGTTGACAAAAACATTTCTGAAATGTCAGATGTGGAAAACCGCGTTGTTATGTTGGCAGCAGTGAGGCTTGCTGGAAGAGTCGAATTCGGTCCTGAATATGAAAATGAAATGGTATACGGAATGGTATACCATATCTATTTTTCAAACAATTTTTTAGTGCAATCGTCTTAAGTCGGTTGTTTGCAATCTTAAACTACAGTGTGAAGAGGACAAAATTAAACAATGGGAATCTCAGGTTGTCCTTCCTTTTCTCTCTTCTGGTGACTGGAAAAATGTTTTAGCTTTTGAATTTTTTTGACTTTGGCATTTCACGCAAACACTTGTTGCATTTTCTCCGTATGTTTTGGGTAAGCTTTTTCGATACTTTTGGCACCCTTTCTGAAGTATCTTTTAGTTATTGATGGGTGATTTCATGAGTGGAACTGAGAAAAAAAAGAATGGGCCACGGTGAAGGGGTTCGCATGTATCGCAATGGCCAAAGCAACGCTGATGAATAGCAAGCCTTCACTTGTTGCTGCCGCCATTATGCGGATAGGACTTCACCTATTTTTTAATCGTGGTCAACTTCCGGAGGATAAAGTTTGTATTTCTAAAGAAATAATAATAACTGAATTTACACAGTTTCCCCGAGTCATCTCGAGCCTTCTACACAAAGAAAGTGAATACGTGCCGATCGCCACAAATCTTTTAAATTGGGTTTTGTCTGTCGAACATACATTCCAACGGTCAGTTATTTCAATTATCGATTATAGTTAGTTGGAGTTTGTAGATCACTCGTGTGTTTGAAGCCGATCAATATCATCCCAGTAAACAAGAGCTAGAAACTATTGCCTGTGAATTAAAGAACTTCGATAAGTATTGTCGTAGAGGCTAACACTTCGATATTTTTTGTAAATTAATCTAGCATTTGTGAAAGGAAAATTGTATGTTTTTTTATTTTATACTACCGTAAATGTTTCAATTATTTCTGTGCCGTCAATTTTAAAATTTGTAACATCTTTTATGCCGAAATAAACATAGCAAATTGTATTTGAGGTTCAAATTCTTCATTGCATTCGCAGAGAAAGCGAAAATTGCCCCAAAATTAAAGTATGTTCCCGCGACTAATGTATTTTCCAAAAGGTGGCTAATTTTGAAAACTACCGCAATTTTTCAATGTGTCAGTTTCTCCAAAAATGAGCTCACGTGAGTTGCAATAAACTTCGACTGCAGCCTAGGGGGACACTTTAGGGAGAGTATTTCCTCCTTTTTTAGAGCGTCCAATTTCTCCGCATCCAATAACATGCCGACTACGGCTTATACATAAAAAATGCGCAAGAAATTTGGGGGGTAGTCAAAACAGCACCATAATGGAAAACGTTCAAAACAGCGCCGTCAAATTTCTCAAAATCCAAAAAACCAAGCCGGTTCAAGTTTTATATCAAAAAATTCCTTGCATTCTTGGCTAAATGATGAGTAAAACTGTTTTGACTACCCCCCAGAAATTTGCTTTCGAACGGCACTTTGTGCTCGTAAAACGGTTCACTCGTTTTTGAGAAAGACCTAAAAAACAAAACAAAAAATTGTACAAATTCGGAGTTCATTTCATTTTTGTTTGCTCAAAATCAAAACTTACGAGTTGTCATTAACTGTATCCTCATTGATCAGGAAAGATTTTAACTACGTAATAAGACCACAATGCCACTCACAACCACCAAAAATACAATATTTTCTCCATTCTTTCACTATAAACGTGTTCTTCGGTGAAAATTAGATTTTAGAGAAGATTTCGTTCGATCTGATATCTGCATACGATCTCAGCTCCATTAAATTTGCTCTTTAAAAAGTTACTATACTTTTTAAGGAGTTAAAACATCGAGACGAAAAGATTACCTCTGTATTAGACCGATCGCTAGCTCGATTTCTCAATATTCTCGCTCTATTCGCTCTGTAATCCGGCTGAAATGCTTTCTCATTCAAAATCTAGCCCATCTTATCCGACTTGTTCAATGGAGACTCAATAGTGTGCATAGTTTTCAATCATTTTTTTTTTCAATGTCCAAGAAAATATTTAGCACCAACAAATGTAATGGATCGTTTAAAATAAAATATTTTTTTTTGATTATCTTTGAGTTTTTCAAGATATTACCTGAATATCTTGAAAAGCCTCAAGCTATTTAATTTCTTTGTTTAAAAATTTTACTAGAAATTATTTACAACAAATGGAAAGTAGGCTACTTTCCGCCAAATTTCTTGCGCAAACAGGATCATTTGCGCAACACGCCATAACTTTCTTCTAAGTCATCCAGTCTTTATGCTTTTGGTGTCATTTTGTTGTACTTATTGAGATCTACAAAATGACACCAAAAGCATAAAGATTGGATGACTTAGAAGAAAGTTATGTCGAGCCAAACGACCTAGTCATTTGTCAACTGGGTCGTTAGCGCAACACGCCATAACTCTCTTCTAAGTCATCCAGTCTTTATGCTATTGGTATCATTTTGTTGCACTTATTGAGATCTACAAAATGACACCAAAAGCATAAAGACTGGATGACTTAGAAGAGGGTTATGGCGTGTTGCGCTAACGACCCAGTTGACAAATGACTAGGTCGTTTGGCTCGACATAACTTTCTTCTAAGTCATCCAATCTTTATGCTTTTGGTGTCATTTTGTAGATCTCAATAAGTACAACAAAATGACACCAAAAGCATAAAGACTGGATGACTTAGAAGAAAGTTATGGCGAGTTGCGGAAATCAGCCTACCCCCAAAAAAATATCAAAGTCTCATCAATGATCATAATACATTGCATAATAATCATCGTCTTTTCGATAATTTCTTCGCGTTGTTGTCGGTATTGTTGTCGATCGAGGAGATGATTTTATCGTGATTCTTCTTGCCGTTCTTGTTGTTGACGAAAATATTGACTGCGTGGTATTCGATAAACGAATCACTCGCTGTTGCTGGGGTTTAGCTGTAGTTGATGGTGTAGTTGATGGTGGAGAGACTCGGACATCGATCAACTGGAAAGTTATTGACAACTTTTGATTGACATGGACCCTAGAAACTAGAAAAATGACGAGTGTCACACTACAAATGCTTATAACTTTGCTGTAAAGCTGTCTGATTCATATGGTCTATAGCGAAAAAAGATAGAGAATCTCAAGAGCTTTCAAATGAACCAAAGCACACTGAAAAAGCTTAATTCTATCAAAAGTTACAGGGGTTTATAGTCTGACGGACCGTACTCGTGTGAGTCAGACCACAAACCACTGTAACTTTTGATAGAATTGAGCTTTTTCAGTGTGCTTTATTTAATTTGAAAGCTCTTGAGGTTCTCTATCTTTTTAGCTATAGACCATATGAATAACACAGATTTGAAGCAAGTTATAAGCGTTTATAGTTCACGTTTGTAGTTTGTAGTATCAATGTCTAACTTGCAGTGCGGCTCAATCAATTCTGACAATAAATGTTCTATGGAAAGCGGATTTACCCTTTCCTGTTTAATTCTTAGGGATTTTCCCATGAATAGATTGAAATCTAGGTTCTAAATACCTTTTTCGGGGGCATAATATCAATCGACTTCTCAACGACAACCATTTCTTCGCCTCCATCCACATTCACCATTTCTTCCTCACCATCTTCGGAAAATGAGAGCTCCGGCAGAGAATCAGCACCGGATTTCTCGATCTCTGAAATCATTTGAGCAAATTTTGATTTGAGCAAAGCAAAGCTCACTTTTCGATGGGGGAATCGGTTTCTCGACTGGTTCAATGACTGCCCCTTTTGGCACTTGTATCTCAACGTCCACATGATCTACACGATCCTCATCTCCATCAGTTGATTTGCTCAACTGAAACAAGTCAAATCCACATAACCATCTACCGTACTTTGATTGATTTCATAAAAAAGACTTTCCTTACGATAAATCGATAACTAATCGATAACTAATCAAAACCCACCTGACTATAGTAATCCCCGTCACCGTTTTTATCAATCGAAAACGAGATATCAGGCTTTTCTCCTAATTTATTCTTCGGTTTCAACCCGTCAACGATCTCGGTGAAATCCGTTCCGAAATCCCCGTCTTCTGGCAGAATTTCGGTCTTCTTTCGCTCATTAGCTAAAGAGAATTACAATAAATATTCTATTAAGTTTCTAGAGGAGCGTTTCGTAGTCTAACTATTGGGTTGGTGAATTGAAAACTGCGGCCTATTCTCATCTGTGACAGTTCTCACACTTTCTTCAAAAGAAACCCATTTTGGTGTCAATGGAAAAGTTGTAGAGAATCAAAAATCAAGTTTATATTCAAATTTTCAGAACGATTCAAAAACTGGTTTTCAAGAAATACCAAATTTACACAAAAGAAATGCCGAATTTTCACAAAACTTGCATTTTAAGCGAAACTACTAAGTGTATCTTTTTGGAAATTTGGCTATAAGCCTCATTTTTGATTCTCTACAACTTTTCTATTGACACCAAAATGGGTTTCTTTTGAAGAAAGTGCTCAAACTGGGCTGGCAGCTGACATCTCCAGTCCTCCATTCTTGAGTCTCACACTTGTCTCACACACAAACCAAAATCCTACTACGAAAGAGGAATCCGCAAATTGCCTGTAAAATGGGCAGAAATCGTCAATAATAATGGAAATTATTTGGAATGAATTCATGGTTTTATGTTCATTAAATTTTAGTTCAAAGCCCGGCAGTTTTCAATTCACCAAACTAATAGAATTACTATAAATATTCTAATAGAAGCTTCTAGAGGAGCGTTGCGTAGTTTAACTAGAAAACTGTCTCAATTTATTACCGATTTTCGAAACCAAACCTACAAAAGCCCCCATCGAATTCTAAGAAACATTTTTGAGAAAAAAAGCGTGCAAAGTTTTAGCTAATTTTGGGAAACTGCCGGGTATAAGGGGTCGCCAAGCTGGCCGACAAAGGGCATGGATGGCCTAGGGGATAGTGAACCGGTCTACAAAACTGTCCCTCGCAGGTTCGATTCTGGCCCAAGCCGAATTTTTGAAAACTTTTGGAAAACATCTTTTGAACTTCTAAAAGAGTTTTAAAACATTCATTTAACTTGTAATACTTTAAAAAACGATCCACAATCGACCAAGATTCAAGAAATTGCCTTTTTAAGGTTCTCTAGTCTTAAAAAGCCAAAAAAAGACGATTCTTTTATCATTTTTCAATCCTTTATTTCTAAGTGCTGGTTTAAGCTAAAAATCTGCTATATAGCTGAAAAAAACACGCATTTTCTCTATTTTAATTTGCTGCAAAAACAGGCAGAAAGAAACGCACTGGTCGAAAGATTTGAGGATTTGTTTGTGAGGAAACATAGCTGTTTCTATCGGGCTTCGATTAGGGTTACGGTAATTGAAAATCAAACCTTTTGTCTTCTCTTTATCACTTTCCCCAAGTGCACTTCCAAACATTTCCTTTAAACCGGAGTTTCCCGCAAATTCGCTGATCATTTCGGGATTTTCAAGAGCTTTTCCAATAATTTCCCAGCCTTTTGGATCTTGAATTAATTGAAGAGCGGTCTAAAAGTTGAAATTTCATCAAAAATTCATATGAACTATAGCTAAAAAGATAGAGAATCTCAAGGGCTTTCAAATGAACCAAAGCACACTGAAAAAGATCAATTCTATCAAAAGTTACAGGGGTTTGTAGTCTGATTCACACGAGTACGGTCCGTCAGACTACAAACCCCTATAACTTTTGATAGAATTGAGCTTTTTCAGTGTGCTTTGGTTCATTTGAAAGCTCTTGAGGTTCTCTATCTTTTTAGCTATAGGCCATATGAATCAGACAGCTTTGCAGCAAGTTATAAGCGTTTATATTTCACATTTGTAGTTTGTAGTGTCAATGTCTAACTTGCAGTGCGGCTCAATCAATTCTGCCAATAAATGTTCTATGGGAAGCTGATTTACCCCTTCATATGAATCAGACAGCTTTGCAGCAAGTTATAAGCCTATATAGTTTATTTTGTTCACCTGAAAATTTGAGAAAAACTCGGATTTCCTGAATTGATCAATCGCTTTGTAAATATCACCGCAGCTTAAACGATTGCAAATGCCGAGAAACTGGAAAGGGTTGTGTTTGAAATGAGCTCTCAAAGAGCTAGAGCTAGAGCTAGAGCTAGAGCTAGAGCTAGAGCTAGAGCTAGAGCTAGAGCTAGAGCTTTCAGAGCTAGAGCTAGAGCTAGAGCTAGAGCTTTCAGTGCTTTCATTTTAAAAGCCAAACCTCCGGCAACTCGGGTCCCGGATCCCCGAATTGTCCGCTTGGTGAACTCGAGAAAATACTGTCGAAAATCTTCTTCAAATCAACGTCATTTGAGCCTAATCTTTTGTGAAAAGTATGCAAAATGAAGTCACCAATTTTCCCAGCACTGTCACTTTGATCGCTTTGTGATGGATGATTCGAATTCGCTTCAGCTGCCCTTCTCTGCTCATCAAAAACGTGGAAAATCTCCGTCAGAACGCCCCTTTCTCCAAACAGGGTTTTCGACCAGGCTTGATCCGTGATTTTGCCTAGAAAAATTGAGTTCTTGGCTTGTACTGCTTGCTTGCTTGACTAATTATTAATTTAAAGAATTTCTTAATCAATTTCTTAATCACCTGATGACATAGCTAAAGAATCATCTTGACTTGCCAAATCTCGATTCAATGAGACTTTCGGTGTCTCGTCTCGAAGTATTCGTGTATGTGAGCGGATTTTACTCGTCGAAACCTAAACTTTTTGAGATTTGGGTACTGAGGATCGTTTCAAGCAAGTTTTAAGAGTCAGGCGAGAAGTTAGGCAAACCAAGACCAAGCCAAGCCTGAGCAATGAGGCCAGGCCTGACAAACTAAGCCAAGTCTGGCAGATCAAGCTAAGCCTGGTAGACCAAGCCTGGTAGACCAAGCCTGGTAGACCAAGCCTGGTAGACCAAGCCTGGTAGACCAAGCCTGGTAGACCAAGCCTGGTAGACCAAGCCTGGTAGACCAAGCCTGGTAGACCAAGCCTGGTAGACCAAGCCTGGTAGACCAAGCCTGGTAGACCAAGCCTGGTAGACCAAGCCAAGCCAAGCCTGGTAGACCAAGCCAAGCCTGAGCAATCAGACCAGGCTCGCATGGAAGTACTTGTCGGTTATACATCGACAGAGACTCAATTCGGTTAAGCAAGAAGCTGACAACTTGCGGAATTTGAAAGGATCTCCGAACTCCCAGACTCCTATCTGGAAGTTCAACTTTGACACTAATTTTCTCGATGTTTTTATCGGTGAGTCTACAAAAGAAATCCTACTTTTCTATAGCTAAATTTATTGAAGATTCTAAAGAAACCAACCATAAGTTGATTTAGCGTCTATACCTCGAGTTCTAGACCATCTAAGTTGATCAACTTTTCCAGGTAGGTAGCTCAACTTTGACTCAACTTCTCTCTATGTTGTTACATCAGAGTATATACTTATGTTCAGTGAAATAGAGTGCTGAAGTGATCAGTCGATGAGTCGAACGAGAATCGATAACCGAGAAGACCCGGATGGAGATGCTTAGCCGAGATTAGTCTCTATGGATGTATAACCGACAAGTACCGAGAGTTCAGTAGAGTAGTAAAGGTTGGATGAGTTGTGAAAATGTTACACTCACCCCTTCGGCTTTCTGCACGACATGTGGCATTTCGTCTTGCATCGCCGAAATCTCAGGCACAATCGTGCCTTGTTTTTGCATCGCATTACCAGTGAAATTCTCGATAAAACTCCAAACTTTTCCCATGATTGGATCATTTACAACACTCTCCATCATTTGAAGGAAATTCCCGGTGGAAGCTAAAAGAGTTTGAGTAAGTTTTTGTAATTAGAGTTTGTCTTACTTGAAGCTTGAGTAGTGATTGGTCGAGCGTCTTTTTCTGTTAAGAATGTTGACGATTGACGATCATTCATCTTAAAGCAAAGATTTTTGGATAAAGAGAAAAGGTAGAAGTTCTCAAAGTCAAGAAAATGTAAGGGTTAGATCTTGAGCGCTTGGCTTGATCGTCTAGCTTGATCTTCTAGCTTGATCGTCTAGCCAGCTTGATCGTCTAGCCAGCTTGAGCGTCTAGCTTGAGCGTCTAGCTTGATCGTCTAGCCAGCTTGATCATCTAGCCAGCTTGATCGTCTAGCCAGCTTGATCGTCTAGCCAGCTTGATCGTCTAGCCAGCTTGATCGTCTAGCTTGATCGTCTAGCCAGCTTGATCGTCTAGCTTGATCGTCTAGCTTGATCATCTAGCTTGATCATCTAGCCAGCTTGATCGTCTAGCCAGCTTGAGCGTCTAGCCAGCTTGATCGTCTAGCTTGAGCGCCTAGCTACCGGCTTTAACTTGCACTAATACCATTGAAGGAAACCGAAAATCTAGAATTAAAGCCAGAAAAAGCTAGAAGCAGCTTTGTTCAGCATTTGCCAACTTTAAGAGCTTCTTTTCGGTGTAAATTCTTCCACTTACCGTATTATTTGCTGTTTGAATGATTGGGGCTCCATTCGTGACCCCAATCACAAAACCAATCAACCAAATTCGCATTCGGACGCCACTTTGATCAGTTACTGGAATTTTCACCAATGAAAAGGTCAAATCGTTAGTTGAATGACGAACAATTGAAAGTTTTCACTCTTGAAAGTGAGTCAGCGCATGAAAAAATCAACACAATGCCATTTGAGGAGGGGAAATGAGACAAAAAAGACAAGGACATGAACAGTTACGATTGGGGAAATCGAGGGAGAAAGTGGTGATTTGATAGGGAAATTGAGGGTAGACTGGGTATGTTTTAAAGTCAGTTGTTTGCCTTAAAAAGTCTCGGATTACGGTAACTTTCTAGGTGCATCTTTTAGAAATGATTAGCTTAAGATAAAGCTATCTTTAGCTTCTTTTTAAGATCTAAACATCCTACTCGAGTCAATTGGGTAGTCGAAATTGAGGTGTATCGCTGTTTTAGAGCTGAGTTACGATGCTAATGATGTCATGCGTGCTAATGACGTCATCACCGACTGGCTAATAGCCTTATATCCTAGTCGGGAGGTCAAGAATACAATCCTGCTTTGGCTGTTGACTTTTGACTGCTACTTTGAGTGTTATTGACTCTTTTTCCTATATATTGGGTTGAAAAGTAAGCTCTCTCCGTTTCCGTTTCCGTTCTCCGGTTTAAACTAAACCAATCTACACTTGTTAGGTCTCATTCGAAAGCTGAATTCAAGATGAATACGATAATCAAAACAGTTTTTCAATTCATTTAATTTTGAACTTTTTACAAGCGTTTTCTTGAGCTCAGTCAGAAAAAAGTGTTTTCATTTCAATTTCGATAGTTTTTTGTTTGGAAACATAAGCTAAAAACACGTTATTCGTACTCAGCGCATTAGATTACCCCTAGAAATTGATTATTGAGGTTTTTGCGAGAAAAAATTCAAAATTTTTGTCGCGAGTCGGGATCGAACCTTTGACCTTTTGGGTGGTAGGTGTCCGGCCGTTTTTTTTTGCCCGTTTGCTCGTTTTGTTAATTGATTTTTGTTTATTGTTATCTTTTTTTGGTAAAAGCTGTAGATAAAGGAAGAAAGCAAAGAAAACGGGCAAAAAAAACGGCTTGACAACTACTACCCAAAAGGTCGAAGGTTCGATCCCGACTCGCGGCAAATTTTTGAATTTTTTCTTGCAAAAACCTCAATAATCAATTTCTAGGGGTAATCTAATGCGCTGATTACGAATAACGTGTTTTTAGCTTATGTTTCCAAACAATAAACTATCGAAATCGGAGTTGAAAACGGAATTTCAACACTTTTTTTCTGACTGAGCTCAAGAAAACGCTTGTAAAAAGTTCAAAATTAAATGAATTGAAAAACTGTTTTGATTATCTTATTCATCTTGAATTCAGCTTTCGAATGAAGTCTAACAACAGTAGATTGGTTTAGTTTAAACCGGACAACGGAAACGGACAGAACTTACCTTTTAAACCAATAGCCCAATAGGTTTTTCTTTTCTAGATTTAGAGTTGTGTTTGATCAAATTATGGTTGTGAAAATTGGTGAGCAGAGAGCAGAGAGCGCCGGGAGCCACGCCTTACCATGGTGTATCTTTCCAAGCAGCAGCAGCACCATGAGATTTTACCGAGTCTTGTTCTGACTCAGGCGCACGGAGATCATTCGTTGTCATTATAGCTGTGAAAATTGGTAAGCAGAGAGCTTCGTGAGAGCCCCGGGAGCCGCGCCTTACCATGGTGTATCCTTCCAACCGACTCAAGCAGCAGCACCATGGGATTTTACCGAGTCTGACGGATTCTGACTCAGCTGCCATGATCCTCAACAAAAATTCTGCTTTTTATAACCCCCATGAATGTTGTTTGCCAGAAAGGGGTAGAGAGCTTATTTTAAAACGCAGAACTTTATCAACTATCAACTATCAACTATCAACTATCAACTATCAACTATCAACAATCAACTATCAACTATCAACTATCAACTATCAACTATCAACTATCAACTATCAACTATCAACTATCAACTATCAACAATCAACTATCAACTATCAACTATCAACTATCAACTATCAACTATCAACTACATCGATCGTAATCATTGTTATACAATAAATTCAAAAAAAAGATCTTAAGCAATAGAAATTTGAGGAAAATAAACTCATACTTTAAAAACAACAAAAAAAATTGAATAAATTTGCATGAAGAGAATACAGGTTATGTGCCAGTTTTACTGGCTCTAGAGTCACAAAAGGGAATTGCGAATGGCAGAGAAATAGGGGAAAGAGGAGATCGATTTGAGCTTTAAAGAAACCTGATCGGATTCAAGATTTACCCAAGTTGAAACCAAAAAATCAACAGTTCTAGACAAAAAAACTTGCGATAGATTATCGTTTTTTATGCAAAATTTCATGCATTCATTGAAAAACAAAGAAATTTTATGGATTCGAATGAAAGGATTCGTTTTCTGGAAATGAAACTTTACTGTCGAAAAGAGTACTGTTAAACAATAGAAATTCAACAATAGAAAAGAAAAATATATTTGAATTTTGATGCAAAGTCCTACAGAATCAAGCAAATAGTATCCTTTTTTGAAACGAAGAAGAAAGAGTGAGAAGAATCGATTCCTGCTTTTACCTTGAGCCTTAAAGAAGAAGTTTGCCATGAGAAATGCCATGAGAAATGCTTAAGGGAAAAGAAAAAGAGAAAAGATGAGTGTTCTGTAGTTTTCTTTGAGTGAAACCTGTCTTTTTCCTTCTTTCTTCTCTCTCTTCCCTTCTCTCTTCTCTCTCTTCCCTTCTCTCTTCTCTCTCTTCCCTTCTCTCATCTCTCTTTTCCCCAATTTCTCCAATGAACTCTTACTCATTCGAGATTTAAATCTCTCTTTTAAAGTTCACATGTTCTCTTTCGAAATCATATTTCTATAGCTTTAATAGCATAGAATTTAAGCTAAAATTTGGACAGAATCTAGCGCACTCAATGCTGGGATCAAAGCGGGTTGTGTGGGCCGTAGGTAAGCGCGCTCCCGACTGCCCCCATGGCGAACACAACCTCCGACAGTCCCAAAATCACAAAAACCCACCGGCGGCCTCTTAGGCGGATTTTTGGCTAGTTTCTATAATCTACCAATGCAAAAAGAGCTTTGAATTCAAATCGATTCAAATCATTCGATTTTCATAGAGATTACGATTCAAGAGTAGCTTCAAGAGATATTCAAAAGTAGCTTTTTAAATATTTCGATCATCTGAAAACGATCATCTTGAAATAAAGTAGAATATTAGAATCGTGCTAGACCAAAGTAGAAAGAGGAGTTGATCCAAGAGTAATTTTTATGTGTGTTTGGTTAACTGCGATTTCAATCTACACAAGCATGGTAGATCAGCTCATCAACAAGCATGGTAGACTACAAATCAAAAGCACAATCAAAAGCACACATTCTTCCCCAGAATCTAGCGCACTCAATGCTACAATCTATGTAAAAAGAGCTTTGAATTCAAATCGATTCAAATCATTCGATTTTCTTAGAGATTACGATTCAGATGCGCCAAGTCTTTCTCTATCGATTGGTAGTAAAACTATTTAAATTGGACAGCTAAACACCAAGAAATTTGAGTTCAAAGTTAGATTGCCAATGTTCGTATCAAATTTCCCACAATTTCGTCAAGCATCTACCATAATTAGGCAACTCCGGATTTGAAATTGATGTCAAGGATTAAAAAGTACTCTTGCTGTATACTTTGAGGGAATATAACTCGCGTACGGACCATACTTGAGCCAGAATGGGTTTCAAAGCCGGAATGGGTTCAAAAAACCGAAACCAACCGGAAAAAGCAGCCCAACCGGACGCGAAACCGGAACGGCTCAAAAATCCGAACCGATTCGGAACCGAAATGCTACAAAAAGCCGGATTCCGGAACCGGAACCGGATCCGGAACCGACTCAAGTCTAATACGGATCCCTCTGACCATTTCCTTGCAAGAATAACAACTAAAAACAACAACTAACAACAACAACAAATAACAATAAATAAGAACAACAACTAAAAACAACAACTAAAAGTATAAATAAAAAGTTGAATACTGATAGGACATCCGTGGTGATTTCTAGTCACCAGCCCTTACGATCTGGAATTATGTATATGTTGTGTCCGATTTAGATTTCCGTCCGATTTAGATTCTATCTAAATCGGACGTCCGATTTAGATTGAACTTATCGCGGAGTATCGGACGTCCGATTTAGATTACAGTCTATATCGGACGACTCAATCTAAATCGGACGTCTTATATAGATTGAACAATAATATAAACATGTTTAGTATATGTTCTTAAGCGTTTTCTGTAGTTTTCTGCATTTTCAAAGGTCTTTTATTGATTATTTCATAGTTGGGTTTTCTTTTCAGAAAAAAACAGTAACAGACCTTTGAAAAATGCAGAAAACTACAGAAAACGCTTAAGAACATATATCAAACATGTTTATATTATTGTTCAATCTATATAAGACGTCCGATTTAGATTGAGTCTAAATCGGACGTCCGATATAGACTGTAATCTAAATCGGACGTCCGCGATAAGTTCAATCTAAATCGGACGTCCGATTTAGATTGAATCTAAATCGGACGGAAATCTAAATCGGACACAACATATATATACTTTATCCGACAAGGAAAAGTGACAATGCAAACTGATTGAACAGCGTAGACGAAGAAAGATAATTGATATACAAACACAACTACAATTAGACACGTGTATATATGACATTAAAAACTAATTTAAAATTGACAGAGCTACAAGATCGAGCTTATATATTGAGGATATTTAAAATAGTTCAGAGATGAAAAAATATCACAAGGTAACTTATTCCAAATACGAGGAACACGACAAGCAAAAGAATGATACAGTTGGCGGTTATGAAAGCTTTGAAAGGGGGTAATCTGAAAGTTGTGACTACGAGTTCTTCTGGCGTGATTCGAAATCTTAAAGAGTCCTTTAAGCTCCGGATGAGAGTTAGGAGAGAAGATGATTTTATAGCATAAGACCAAATCAAAATAAATCCGGCGATGGGATAAGGGTTTAAGGTCAAAAAGAGCAAGTCGATCAGAATAGCAAGGAATTTCTTTCGATGGGAAACAACGGGCATACGCCCTCCTACTGAAACGACGCTCAACGTTCTTTTTAGAACGTTTAGACGAAATTATTTAGAGAGCCAACGACGATAAGTGCTAGTTATCTCCTACTTAAAAACATCACAAATGAATAAAACTTTCTAGAATATTGTTATTTCATAATTATCAAATAATCATTCTAAAACTTTCACAAAAGGAACTCTGTGGGACATTGTCACCTGATGTCAAATGACATTTTTTGTCGAAACAAAAAAAAACAACGTTGTCCCATGCGATTGTTTGATTGATTGTTTGTGCAAAAACGCCATTGTCGTCAACGTGTCGTTGCCTTTAAAACATTAAAAATTTATTTACAATCAAAACCCGTACGCCAAAATGCGAGAAATGGAAGAGAAAAGAGAAAGAAAAAATGGAATGAAAAGATAAAAATGAAAAGATTAAAGAGAAATTAACCAAGTAACGCTAAACAGTCCCTTCCTTTGTTGATGACTTTCTTTTTATTCGTTTCTTCATTCGTTTGTGTATAATAATCATCTCCTTCGCTCTTCTCTCCCAAAATCACCTCGGGATTCTCGTTCTCTGGCTCGATTTTGTGAATACCACCAAGTCCAAGGTTACGACGAGCCTGAATTTCGAGTTTATTCAATAATTTGTACTAAAATGTACTAAAATGTATTAAAATGAGTCTTTTATCAGGTAAATTATGGGCTACGTCTCCTTGCAATTTAAAAGAATCAATTAGCTCAGGTTGGCTGGCTAAACCAAGGTTGGCCTCAAGGCTGGCTTCAAGGCTGGCTTCAAGGCTGGTCTCAAGGCTGGCCTCAAGGCCTCAAGGCTGGCTTCAAGGCTGGTCTCAAGGCTGGCTTCAAGGCTGGCTTCAAGGCTGGTCTCAAGGCTGGCCTCAAGGCTGGCTTCAAGGCTGGCTTCAAGGCTGGTCTCAAGACTGGCCTCAAGGCCTCAAGGCTGGCTTCAAGGCTGGTCTCAAGGCTGGCTTCAAGGCTGGTCTCAAGGCTGGTCTCAAGGCTCAAGGCTAACCTCAAGGCTGGTCTCAAGGCTGACCTCAAGGCTGACCTTAAGGCTGGTCTCAAGGCTGGCTTCAAGGCTGACCTCGAGGCTGGCTTCAAGGCTGGCCTCAAGGCTGGTCTCAAGGCTGGTCTCAAAGCTCGCCTCAAGTCTCATCATTGTTTTCATTTCTTTTCACTCACTTGACTCAAATCCTCATAATAATCCCTTTTCACGCGTCGATTCGTCCATTGAACATCGTCAAAATCGAGATCAGTTTCATCATTGATCTAAAGTTATTCAAATCAATTACAGCTATCAGAACCTATCGATGTGCGGTCGGAGAATCTAGCTGACGATGAGATCTAGTGAGGGATTAGAGTTAGAGTACCTGTCTAATCCTTCTGAACTTCTCTCCACTTTGACGAAACACTTCAGCATATGAGTCTTTACTGAACTGTACAATTGGCTTCTCCAAAGTCAATCCTGGTGCCTAAGGAATGGTTATAAGTTTTAAATCTTTGTCAAATCACCTTTAATGGTTGTATTGATAGAATAGGAAGGAGTGGTTGTAAAGGAGTTGGAGTTGGGAAGGCTGGAAATGAGAAAGTGGGTAGTGAGAGAGGAGGAAGAGTCGGTAGTGATGGGAATTGTGGTTGAGGGATGGCTGGGAAGAGGAAGTGACCGGGTGGAGAGAATGGAGGAGAGATTGGAGGAGCGATTGCTGATGGAGATCCATGGAATGGCATGATTGGCGAGATGGGGATCGGATCCGGCTGGAAAACACCTATCAATTTACAGCGATCAGTTTAGGGTAGAGCATGAGTACTAGAAACAACTAGAAAGGCTAGAATTACTAGAAACAACTAGAAAGACTTCTTGTTAGTGCATCAAACAAGCAAAAAGCTTCGTACAGCGTACAGGAACGTACAGGAACGTACAGGAACGTACCGTTCTCCGTACAGGAACGACTACGACTGCAGGAATGAGCTGCTCTCACCTCAATCGAGTTGCTCATCGGTTGACTCGACCAAGTCTTTGATCCCATTAATTTCCTTGGTTGTCGCCCAAATGAATCCAGATTTCCAGTCTCAGATGAGATCAAATCATCATAGAATTGCCTTGATCCCATCTCGATTCTCACTCGTTGCGGTCCGTTTAGTGGATCGTCTTGTAGGGGTAATTTTGGAGGACCAATTGGAGGAGTGACACGCAGTGGTTGTTGCGTTGTGTGATGGTTTGACTGAAATTGGCAAATTCAGCTTTCAGCAAAGGATTTTGAGATCTTTTATACGCGCCCTGACTCCTTTGCCACTGGCAATCTAACTTTAAGCTCAAATATCTTGGTGTTGGGCTGTTCAATTTAAATGGTTTTTCTACCAATCGACAGAAAAAGACTTGGCGCATCAAATGATATCAATATCGAATGCTTTAAGCAAGTCGCTGAAGCAAGCCGCTGAAGCAAGCGGCTGAAGCAAGCGGCTGAAGCAAGCGGCTGAAGCAAGCGGCTGAAGCAAGCGGCTGAAGCAAGCGGCTGAGGCAAGCCGCTTTAAAACTTTAAAGGCTCTGGCTTAAAAGCCTAAGCCTATCTTAAAATTTTCAGCCAAACTATGGCAGTAATATTAGACTAATTGTAAGCTAGATACTGAAGCTTACAGCTATTCAGCAAGCAAAAGGTCAAGTAAACACAATGCAGCTTGAGCGTTAGATGTGTTTTAAGGAAAAGAAATTTAGTGGAGAGCAATTTGTCAAATAAGTTCACTTACCGTCAGCACCAATTCGTCATCAAATTGTTGAATGATTGCTGATTGTTGAGTTGTTGTCGTCGTTGTTGGCTGAATGGGGAAATTCTCAAATGAAAATGACTATTTCTTTAGAAAATATCATTCAATTCAAGTTTCCCAGGCAAAATCACCAATTAATCTATTGTTTTCCTCTAAATAAAAGGGTTTCTATGTTTAATTTTCATCTTTTTCATCTTTTTCATCTTTTTCATCTTTTTAAGTCAATTTTGGTTCACTTACAAGCAAATTCGAGAGAGAAAAGAGAAAAAGAGTGTTTCGAAACAGAGAGAGCTATCGAAAAAAGACCTCTATGAAGAGTTTAAGCTGAATGAAAGTTCTCTGTTAATTTCGCTATAAGTTTTTATTGTTTGATTTTATTTATTGTTGCTTATTTATTGTTGTTTTATTTATTTTTATTTATTGTTTTTATTGTTCGTTTTTTTTTCTATCAATAGACATGAAAAGACAGGTTTCTTTTAGGTAAAGTGTCTAAATCGTTTCCTTAAGTTGTCAACCTTATTTTTATCGTTTTTTGTGTATTTTTCTTATTTTATGGTATGGTATTCTTATATTTTATGTATTTTATATTTTATGTTGGTATTTTATGGTATTCTTATTTTGGTCCCCTATCTCAACAAATTTGGTTCCCTATCTCTCTAAATTTGGTTCTCTATCTCAACAAATTTGGTCCCCTATCTCAACAAATTTGGTTCCCGATCTCCCTATCTATCAATATCTCAAATGATCGTGTTTGGGCAAAATCACCATATCGTCAAACGTCACCATATCGCGCAGTTCTCAATCCTGCATCGGTGATGTTTTTTGCCGGGATAACCGCCAATGGAAAGACCCCGTTGATCTTTGTTCTTCAAGGTGTGAAAGTAAATGCGGTCAATTATTTGGACTTGCTAAAGAAGGAGGTTGTTCCGTGGGCCACTTCAAAAATCGAATTTGGACTTATCAACAAGATGGTGTGCCGGTTCACAAGGCAAAGAAAGTGCAAGAGTTTTGTTCAAAGACCTTCCCGGACTTCATCTCGTTTTCTGAGTGGCCACCCGATCTTAACCAATTGGATTACACAGTCTGGAGTGTTCTTGAAGCCAGGGCATGTGCAAAATCACATAAAAATATGGAAAGTTTAAGGCGCTCATCAAAGCATGGGATACCCTCGATGATGCCTATTTGCTCGTCAACGTCAACGCGTTTCCCAAACGTTTGCAGGCCTGAATGCCGATGGAGGCAAATTTGAATTTAATTATTAATCTGTTACTGTTATATGTTGAATAAAGATATTTAAGTTAAGTTTTCGAGATGGATTGCTTTGGTTAATGGTTAATTTGGTTAAAAGCCAAGCCTTTTGTGTGTTGCGGTAATTCTTGGCCACTCTGTAACTAAAATTTGCTCAATATTAATGTATCTCAAGGATTTATTGCTTTCAAATACCTTGCGCGATAATTTTGAGTCAGTTAATTCGCAAAAAATCTTGCTAACCTTTGGAGTTTCCCGAGTGATTTGTTCCTCTAATTTTTCCTCTTCAGGCAATGGCGGTGGTTGAGGGCTTTCACCCTCAACTGTCGTGATAAATCTGTAAACTTATATATGTCGTAGCCGAGGAAGTCTCAGACTGAGACCTCTTCGGCTAGCCGATTAAGTCTCAAAAGTGAAATCTTGAGTTATGTATTGACTCAAGTCAATACCAGAAACTCAAGCTCTCTAAAAGGCGCTTAAAAGCTAAAAACGCATTCTAAAGAGTGCGCATTTTATCATACTATAACCAAAGGCTATAAAAGGGCCCTTTTCGTCATTCGTCAAAGGCACGGATTTAATCGATCTTCAATCCGTTTCCGATGGAGAATTCAAGTTTTTGATGGTCTACCAGGATCATTTCACAAAGTTCGTCGTTTTGCGGGCATTGCAAAGGAAAACACAATTTGAAGTTGTCGATCATCTAATGGAAATATTCGGAACGTTTGGAGCCCCAAAAATTCTTTAGTCCGACAACGGAAAGGAGTTCGCCAACAGATTGGTAAGCTTTTCCTTTTGTGCCCTATCGAATTTCTTTATGACGCTTTATTTTGTTTGCTTTTAGGTCAAAGAACTCGTGGACCGGTGGTATTATTGTTTATTTTTGTTTTATTATTGTTTATAAACTCGTTTTTTGGTATTATTGTTTATTTTTGTTGTTTAGTTTGGTCGAAAAATGCAACTTGCAATGAAAAATGCAAAATGCAACTGCAACTAGAATGCGTTTTTAGCTTTTAAGCGCCTTTTAGAGAGCTTGAGTTTGTGGTATTGACTTGAGTCAATGCATAACTCAAGATTTCATTTTTGAGACTTTTTCGGCTGAAATCCTTCATCGGCTACGACATATAGAATTTACAATGAAATACTTTATTATGTTATATTTATGTTTTTAAAAAAAATGAATTACTTACCTATCAACAATTTGAAAACCTTTAGAGAAGAGTTTACATTGACTATCTGACATTCCTTGCTCAGTGCAAACAGCATTGATCGCATCAGGATTACTAAATTGAATGAATGAATTGAAATTCTATAAATAAAATCGTAAACACAAATCTATATCTAACAAAGAAAGCTTTTTAAACCTTTTTTACCTGCCAACCGCTTTCCTTAGCTTTTTATCAGCTAAAACTTGAGCAGCTAGGTTGAGATTTGCGAAATTTTCATCTTTTTTAAAGTTTTCTGCTTGACAAGAGATGAATTGACAAATTCTGGAATATTAAATAATATTATATTCTATTGTTATTCCTTTCCAAACCTTGAATTCCCTTTACATAACGGAATGTTGTCAAGAATTGAAATCGGACGAGCGCCGAGAACATTTTCCTGTCTCATTCCACCGTCATTAAACTAAAAATCACAAAATAAACATTCTTAAACAATTAATTAGTTCTATAGCTTTTCTTTACTTCATTATTGATCATTGCATCATTTTGTATTGGTTGTGAAGTGTCAAAGATCGGTCGAACGAGGGAAAGAGCTTTGTGGATGAGATCGTCGATTGAGACTGAAAACGTTTGAGATTGAGACTGTCATTTTGGTGTGCTGGCTAAATGATGTGTACAATTCGATGCAGAATTTAACGCTGATTCCGAATCTGTTTTCCGTTTTTGCTATAGAGCACTCTGTCAAAAGTTATAAGTGTGCAAAGTTTTGGATGGAACCAAATCACAAAAGAAGACCACAAAAGTCACACGATCACACAAAATTAGGATACTGCCACTCAGCCACCACAGCCTTTCGACGGTCTCTGGGAAGTCTCCTTATAAAATCGGGGATTTGATGCGATGTTATTGTGAGTGAAATCCGATACAAAACTTTGCACGCTTATAACTTTCGACAGAGTGCTCCATGGCAAAAACGGAAAACAGATTCGGAATCGGCGTTAAATTCTGCATCGAATACCCCCGTCGTAAATCTCATTTGGCCACCACATCCAGTTAAAATTCTCTTTTAACTTTTAAAACCCTCGATTTACAGATTTTCTCTTCTAAACTTGATTTCCCAGTGTACTTGGTGGTGGAAAATCTGTAAACAAACCCTTTCTAGTGCACCAAAATGAATTCTTTTCTTTCCTTTTCGTTTCTATAAGGAAAATAAAGAATTTTGGATGTAAGAAGTCGAGTTTGTTTACAAATTTAACCAAAAAAATGCATTTTTGCATTTTTTAGCTTTTTTAGGATCAAAACTGGCTTTATTAGCCGTTTTAATTTCCTTTAAAACTAATTTTATGCAATTTTTGGTTTAACTTACATTGTCTTTTCACTCTTTTTTGCTTTTGATCAGCTTGAACATTGATGAGAAAAATTGAGAGACTCAAAAGGAAACCAAAATGAACAAACACTCTCATCACATTAAGAAAAAACGGATAGTTTTCTGAAAAGATTGAATTGTATTGTTTAAAAATCTGTCTTGATTTATGAAAATCGAGATTCTGAATAAAATATACACTGAAAAGCGAAATGAAAGCTTTTTAAACTGAAAAGAATTTGAGAAATAAACTGAAGAAAGGATTTCGTTAAATATTTTGGGTACTTGTCAGTTAAACATCCACAGAGACTAATCTCGGTGAAGCCTCCCACATCCGAGACTTCTCGGCTATCGATTCTCGTTCGACTCATCGACTGATCACTTCAGACAAGCACTCTACTTCACTGAACAAATCACTGAACAAATCACTAAACAAACCACTGAACAAACATAATCACCCCTCACAAGTTGTCAACTCCTTGCTTAACCGAGTTGAGTCTCTGTCGATGTATAACTGACAAGTAGGTCTTGAGGTACGTCATGTACTTGAGGTACGTCATGTACTTGAGGTACTTCATGTACTTGAGGTACGTCGTGTACTTGAGGTACGTCGTGTACTTGAGGTACGTCGTGTACTTGAGGTAATTCATGTACTTGAGGTAGGCCAGGTACCGACTACGGCCTGTGGAGATGTATAACCAAATTTCGAGTTTAAGTTCAAGAATAAGGTATTTAACCTCGATTAGGGTTTCGGAAGAAGAAATCCGAATTGGAAAGAGAAAAAAGAAAAGAAAGTAGGACAGATCCCTTAAGAAAAGAAAAGAAAAGAGAAAAGTTTTCAAAATCGATTGAAATAGCAAAAAACGGATGGGATTCAGATTTAGAAATGCATTCAAAAGCTAAGCTTGTCCCCTAATTTACCATAATCTTGTCTATTTGCATCTAATCTATCTATTTTTTATCTTATTTAAACAAAATCCGTATACTAAAGTAAAAAAGGATAGTTTAATTGTTAGAAAAGATTTGTTTACAAATTTGAGCATAAATTACATAAGGAACAATTGAAAGAATCAAATTTAGAGAAACAAATGTTCAAGAATAAGGTATTTAACCGGATCGATTAGGGCTTTGGAAGAAGAAATCCGAATTGGAAAGAGAAAAAAGAAAAGAAAGTAGGACAGATCTCTTAAGAAAAGAAAAGAAAAGAGAAAAGTTTTCAAAATCGATTGAAATAGAGAAAAACGGATGGGATTCAGATTTAGAAATGAATTCTGAATGAAATGTAATGAATGAAATGAAATGAATGAAAAGAAAAGCTAAGCTTGTCCCTTAATTTACCATAAGCTTGTCTATTTTTTAGCTAAGCTTGTCATTTTGTTTGACAAGCTTAGCTACAGACTTTCGTTTTCTATAACCCTTTCCCTTTTCTCTACCATAAACTTGTCTATTTTTATACAGAAGATATTCAGCTGTGAATTTGTCTTGATTTTCTCAAGATTAGTTAGTTCAATTGTTAGAAATTGGGTCAATCAAGCTGGGTTCTAAAAAACAATTGGTACTTGTCGATTATAAATCCACAGAGATCGAGTTGAGTCTCTGTGGATTTATAACCGACAATCGACAATAACAGCAGAAAGCAGAAAAAGACGCTCAACCAATCACTAGTTTGGTTTATAACAAGTACCGAACAAGTACCGAACAAGTACCGAACTCTCTTCTCCAAATTCCTCTACTCTATTGAGCATCCTGTTCAATATTTTACTGATTTTTGAGATCAAATTTGTACTTTATGTGATAAAGAACAATTCAAAGAATCAAATTTAGAGTTTAAGTTCAAGAATAAGGTATTTAACTGGATCGATTAGGGTTTCGTAAGAGGAAATCCGAATTGGAATTGGAAACAAATTTTTGGGTTGTCCAGTTATGAATGCGCGTTTTTACTATTTTCTAAATTTCTCAAGATATCGAACAGATTTATATGAGTGTTATATATCATTCGAAAGCTGAAGATCTCCTCTACATTTTGATATAAAAAGCTTTTGAATTTGTCCAGCTTTTGGGCAAATTGACTGCACAGAAGAAGAGGTGGCCAAAAATGGAAGCGTGCCTTTGGAACAAGTTTTGGCTCCGCTCAAATTTAATGTTTGGCCAATAGATATATCAATACAAGCTTTTTTTTTAAATATAACAGTTTCAGAGCATCTTTACTTTTCTTTTCTTTTCTTTTATTTTAAACCATAAAACTTGAGGAATAGCTAAGCTGGAATGGGTTTTTTTTTTTTTGAAAACGACCTCTCCTTTTGTGCAGTCAATTTGCCCAAAAGCTGGACAAATTCAAAAGCTTTTTATATCAAAATGTAGAGGAGATCTTCAGCTTTCGAATAATACTCATAGATATCTTTTTCTTGATTTCGGTATCTTGAGAAATTTACAAAATAGTAAAAAAAGGCGCATTCATAAATGGAAACAACCCAATATTTGGACACTATTTGGACACTATTTGGACACTATTTAGACACACACCCAATAATGGATAACCCAATACATAAAGAACAATTGAAAGAATCAAATTTCAATAAGAAAAGTCAAAGTAAAGAAGAAAAAAAAGAGAAAAAAATGAAAAAAATGAAAAAAAATGAAAATGAATTTGTTTAAAGGAAACGTCTTAATGTTCTTTAATGGATAAAACTGAAAGTTTTTGTTTTCCTTTTTGTCTTACGAGAGTGCGTCGAGTTGGGTAAATGATTTTTACATCGTAAAAAGCAATTTCGATTCATTCATTGTTCGACTTCGACTTCGACATTGATTGACAATCAAAAAATTCAATTAGAAAACGATTTTCGAGTTAAATTATCAAGAAAACAGGTTTTTTTTTGTTAATTTTTGTTAACAAATTTGTAAATTACAATAAATTTGCATAAAATGGGATAGAAATGAAAGAGTTTTTGTCAAAAAAAAAAAGAAAAACTTGCCTCAATAAACGAAAAAAGGCAGCTCAAATGAAACCAGTTTTGGAACGAGAAAGGAAAAAGGTTATTGGGGAAAGCTGAAAGTGTATTGATAGTTTTAAAAATGAAAAACTGATACTTTATAGGTTTGGGAGAGGGGAGGCCATCTATATTTTTGATTTTTTCACTTTTCTCTTGGTAATCGAGTGTGCTGAGCACGAATTTTAGACTTTTAGCATAGGTTTTTGTATAACTCTTTTCTAAAAAGAGCTGCCAGCTGCACATCGTGTTGCTTTTTATCGATCCTTTTCGTGTTTATGTGTATTAAGAGCTTGGAATCAACTCTCGAGAGTTTTTAGAGAGTCTAATAGTCTCGAAAGCTTTCAATTATCTGTAGATGATCTTGAGCTTGATCTTGAGATGATCTTGAGCTTGATCTTGAGCTTGATCTTGAGCTTGATCTTGAAGCTCTAATGGATTCTTGACGTGATCTGTACTACTCTGTGGATCCTTGACGATCGTTATCTGTGATTTAAGCAAACAGTAAACGTTAGCAAACAGCTGAGCACGAATTTAACACTTTTAGCATAGGTTTTTGTATAAATCTTTTCCAATAAGAAATGCCAGAATTTGGAATCAACTCTCGAGAGTTTTTAGAGAGTCTAATAGTCTCGAAAGCTTTAAATTATCTGTAGATGATCTTGAGCTTGATCTTGAAGCTCTAATGGATCCTTGACGTTATCTGTACTACTCTGTGGATTCTTGACGATCGTTATCTGTGATTTTAGCAAACAGTAAACGTTATCTGTGCTACCCAGACATCCATTACATCGTGTTGCTTTTTATCGATCCTTTTCGTGTTTACGTGTATGAATTCAGCTTGCGCATTTGATTTCATTTCCTGAATAAAGTATCTTTCATCATCATCATCATCATCATCATCATCATCATCATCAGATTTTCAACTTCTTTCTTTTATGAAAGTATTGTAGCAATATTTAATATGCGGATATGATTATCTGAATCGCTTTTATTCCCCTCCCCTTGAATAAAAAAAGCCAAACATTTCGACAAATTGAAAAATCGGTTCTGATCGACCAGTGCGTGAAAGAAAGCGAACGGTAACAACTTCAGCAAATGTCAAAAAGGTAAGGGGTCGGTTGTTGAAAACTGTTGTACAGACAAATTCCCCTTCTAGCCGTTGCGGGGAGCACTTTTTTCTCTTCAAAACCACTTTGTTTGGGATAATTTTATGCATAGATTTCGAAAAACAAGACGAGAAATTGAGAAAATGCGTTTTAAGTCAACTTTCCGCGGCTACTAATTACGTTTCTGATCAAATTAAAGCAAAATTTTTTTTTTTAATTTTCAAATTTCGACCATATGGTCCCCCACATAAGTCAAAATCTCAAAAAAAATTTTTATTTTCTTTTGCCTCTATCAGTTAATTTCAGTTAGAAAGTGAATATTTTGTTATTTAAAATGGTTTTGGCTCTAGTTTTGTCCTTGAGAAGTGTCCCAATAGTCTTGAATACACAAATTTAAAGTGTAAAAGCAAAGGATAATTTTGAGCGTGTTGAAATGTCGAAAATGGCGGTTTTTCAGTTGAAAATCTATGCTAAAAGTGTCAAATTCGTGTTCAGCGTCCTTGATTACCCCTAGAAAAGTGAAAAAATGGAAGATATAGGTATCGGAAAAAGCATTAAAGTACCGGAAAACTTTTGAAAAGGTCTATAAAAGGGCAACTGAATCGTTTACGCAACTGAATCGTTTACGCAACTGGATCTTTTGCGCAACTGAATCGTTTACGCAACTGAATCGTTTACGCAACTGAATCGTTTACGCAACTGGATTGTTTACGCAACTGAATCGTTTGCGCAACTGAATCGTTTGCGCAACTGAATCGTTTACGCAACTGGATCGTTTACGCAAAAAAAAATCATTAAATATCGTTAAAAAAAAGATTAATTTAGGTATTAAAAGAAAATTTAAATATATTTTATTTTAATTGGCTAAACAAAAATGTAAAAGTATTAAAATTTTAATGAATTATCAATTAAATAAAGAATTTTTTGATAATTTTGGAGAATTTGAAAGAGAAAATGATGAAAAACAATGAAAAACCATGAAAAAGAATATTGCTAAAGAATGATTGCAAATCTTATTTCAAAATCTCTTTTTCAACTCAATGAAATCACGAAGAAATCGATCGGATATTCAGTGAAGGACCGGATTGATCTGTGAAAAGGATTCACTGAATGTATCGGAATCGGGCTAAAAGAGCTAAAAAAAGAGAGGCTTTCCCTTTCTTCTTTTCCCTATTTGGGATCTCACTGAAAACTGGCTTCACTTCTTCAAATTTCCCTCTCCCATCGAGCTATTGTTGATTTGTGTGCGGAAAAGTAAGCCAAATCTCGAGCCTCACCTACAGAAATTGGCATAAAAAGTTCATTGACCTGAAAAAAAATACCTATAGACGGAGAGACGTGTGGAGAAAAGGATTGAAAGAAACATTTGAGAAAACAATCTATATGCGTCAATTGTTTGTCACAAATCACTTGTGATCTTTATATATGTCGTAGCCGTTTACGAAATTCAGCCGCTAATGAATCATTCGTTAGCGATTAAATTTCGTAAACGGCTACGACATATAAAAAAAACAAAAAGATAGGATAACTACAGATAGATAGAAATTTTTCAATAGGAGAACAGATTTAACATGGCAATAATATCTAATTCATTTGCAAATACTTTGAAATTTTCCTACAGAACATACCAGACGGGAGCTTATTTCTTTAAAGATATAGATATTGATGTTAGTTCGACGTTGGAACTACTTAGACGATGCAAATCCGCTCGAAATAACGGTGAAAATGCGTGGATTGTTGATGGCACATTTACTACAGGGTGGGCCAAAATCACCGTTACATATAAAAAGACTTTTTAAAAAAAAACAGTATAAAAAACAATTCAAAGGGTCAAAGATTTTCCTTAAAAATAGCTTTTATTGTCTCATAACAATTCATAAAAACTATTTCTTTTCAAACTGATCTCCATTAGCTTTTACACAGGCGTGCAAACGACGTGGAAAAGCGTCGACCGTGGCGAAGAGGTTTGCAATCTCACAATCAGTTCCTGTTTGCACAGTGCGATCATCGATCCTCGAAGCGATGATGCTTGAACCATCCTAAAAATAAACATTCTTATGACATGTTGAACAATTAGAATTATGAATTAGACCTTATTGCCATGTTAAATCTGTTCTATATTTAAAACTTTCTATCTATCTGTAGTTATCTTATCTCTTTGTACCTATCTGTCCTAACTGCAGTTTTACTGTACAAAAGGTATGTGACGCTTGCGCACGGCAAAAGATCTCCAAGCATTCAAGAGGAATTCGAGTCGATAACTTTTTGCAACAAAGCAAGCTCCCGTTCATCACAATTTTAAATAGGACATTTGTAGCGCTGCCAAAATTTGCTTCCCCGATTTTCCTTTCGCTCCCCCGATATTGGAAAAGAACCAAGTTTTTAACAACCGACCCCTCACCTTTTTGACATTTGCTGAAGTTGTTACCATTCGCTTTCTTTCACGCCCTAGTCGATCAGAATCCGTTCCCAAGGTCTTGAAGCGTTAGATTGTTCGATGCACAAGCATTCGATACACTTTGAGACGTTTTGCAATCTCACTCGCTGAGAGTTCCAGTTTGCGCAGCGCGATCATCGATCCTCGATGCGATGATGCTTGAACCATTCTAAAAATAAACATTCTTATGACATGTTGAACAATAAATAATATTAACAGAAAAATTAGAAAACAGCACAAGTTTGAAGATATGCTCATTTGAGCATCGTAACCGTAATTTTGGCCCATCCTGTATATCATTTTTGCTAAACAGTGGTTATTTCGTTATAAGGCTGAATATCTTTTAATCAATAGCTAACTTTTAACCTATTCAGCCAACATTCAAAAGCAGACTATAAATTCTCGTTTTCGCGCAAATGTTTCATTTGTGGCAAAGTTTTGTGAGCATCGATTTGAACCTTAACGTTCGCTTTTCCCACCCTCCAATATTTCTCTGTCGCAATAGTTTTAAGCAAAGTCGACGCATCTCGATCAAAAATGAGTCATTCTTTCAATTCGCTCGTTTTGTGTGTGGATGTGCCGCGATGTTGTGGCTATGGCTCTCTTTGTGTCCCGCTTACACAATCGGCGATCGAACTTTTCGCGCTTCTTTGCCCTCTCCTTTGCCTCTCTTTTTGTTTCTTAACTCTTTAATTCCTGTTCTATTCGTAAACTCATGATTTTCTGGACTTTTGGCTTAAAGTTTTACTTTTCAAATTTAGATTTGCTGAAGCTGCTCAAGGATGTGCAAGTGCCTTTTGCTTCTTCTTTGCATTCTTTTCCCGGTCAGTTTTAAACAGCGGTTTATATGGGATAAGAATAAATCGGTGTTGTTGAAATAGTTTTTTGACTTTGGAATGCTAAAATTTATCTGCTTACTTTATTTTCTTTTTTTAGCCTTTGGCCGTGCTGCTCCATTCGGGCTGTGACATCAACTTTTGCATTAACATTCTCTTCACGTTTCTTGTTTACGTTCCTGGTAAGTTTTTTTTGTTTAAAAACAGTTTTAAGCTTCCCAATGTGAATCTACATCCCTGCTTTTTGCAGGTAGATAGAAAACGTTTTTTAAGAGCTCGTTGAGCGTTGTAAAAAGATTAGGTAAAGACCGTTAAAGCTTTTAGACTTTAGTTGAGCTTTCAGAGAATATGGTTAAATGAAACAACATATATTTATCTACTGTTACATTATGTATCATTTCTTTAGGGATGATTCATGCAATCTACATCTGCTTCTACCACCAGCCCGCTGGAACCGCCATCTACCACCAGTCCGCTCCAACCGGATACTAGAGTGCATGGTAAGCAGTTTCAGCAAGTAAAAGTTTATGCTTTTGAAACAAAACAAGGTCATTTTTACTTTTAGATGTCTGGAGCTTTATGGCACTTCTTCTACATGTTCAACAACGTACTACATCGAGATTTAATCAAATTATTTATCCGTGCGTGATTTAAACGTATCTCTAGCTATTGTTTAGCCTCGGTGTCACTTATTCGTTGAAAACTGATTCTTATTCGTCCATAAATTTTATTCGTTGAAATCTGTAGACTGAAATTCCCCTTTTTCACTTCTTTGGCAATCAGGATACTCAAATCATTCAAGTCAATATTTCATTTGTTTATCTGTTACGCGTACATAAACGGTTATTTTTAGGGATTCTTTGCATTTACAAATTGATGGTTGTTATTCATTTGTCGGTCATTCGGCCAGCACTTGGAAAAATCGAGCCGATGTAAATTATTTGACGCTTATTTTTGCTCAAGTCTAAATTCTCGTTTTCACGCAAATTTTTCATTTGTGGCAGAGTTTTGTAAGCATCGATTTAAACCTTAACGTTACCTTTTTTAGGCACGCTCCAATATATCTCTGTTGCAATAGTTTTAAGCAAAATCAACGCACATCGATCAAAAAAGATTCATTCGATTCGCTCGCTTTGTGTGTGAATACCTCGCGATGTTGTGACAGTGTCCCGCTTACACAATTGGCAATCGAACCTCTTTGCCCTCTCGTTTGTCTCTCTTTTTGTTTGTTAACTCTTTAATTCCTGTTCGATTCGTAAACTCATGATCTACTGAACTTTTGGCTTAAAGTTTTACATTTCAAATTTAGATTTGCTGAAGCAGCTCAAAGATGTACAAGTGCCTTTTGCTCCTTCTTTGCGTTCCTTTGCCGGTCAGTTTTGGACAGCGGCTTATATGGGATAAGAATAAGTCGGTGTTGTTGACATAGTTTTTGACTTTGGAATGCAAAAATTTATCTGCTTACTTTATTTTCTTTTTTTAGCCTTTGGCCGTGCTGCTCCATTCGGGCTGTGACATCAACTTTTGCATTAACATTCTCTTCACGTTCATTGATGGAGTTCCTGTAAAAAGATTAGGTAAAGACCGTTAAAGCTTTATACTTTAGTGGAGCGTTCAGAGAATATGGTTAATTGAAACAACATATATTTATCTACTGTTACATTATGTATCATATCTTTAGGGACGATGCATGCAATCTACATCTGCTTCTACCACCAGCCCGCTGGAATCGCCATCCGCAAATACTAGAGTGCATGGTCATGGTAAGCAGTTTCAGCAAGTAAAAATGTATGCTTTTGAAACAAAACAAGCTTCATTTTTACTTTTAGGTTTTTGGGGCTTTATGGCACTTCTTCTACATGTTCAACAACGTACTACATCGGGATTCAATCAATTATTTATCGTGGCGTCATTTAAACGTATCTCTAGCTATTGTTTAGCCTCAGTGCCCATAACTCTGCCAACAGTTGCTTTATTTTGAATTGTTCTTCTATTTGCTTTCTGTATTATTTTATTCATTGAAATCTGTAGACTGAAATTCCCCTTTTTCACCCGTACCGGCAACCTTAATATAATTTATTTTATTTTACTTACAATGTCAGATTCCGTCTCGTTTTTTTGGTTGTTCGTGTAATTTATCCACAATTTAGCGCGCAGAAAGTCATTTTCAGGTATACATTTCGAGTGCCCCCCCCCCCCCCTGTGTCCCCCTTTTGCCCCCCTAAGTGTCCCCCTCAAAGTGTGTCCCCCCCCTAGTATCCCCCTATTTTTTCATATCAAATCACAACTTTTTGCTCTCCAAATGTGCTTTAACTTTTTAAATTTTTCCGTTTAAGATGTTTCGAGTTCGATGCATTTGCCGATCATTGAGTTTAAAAAGTTAAAGCACATTTGGAGAGCAAAAAGTTGTGATTTGATATGAAAAAAAATGGGTGGATACTAGGGGGGGGGGACACTTTAGGGGGACAAAAAGGGGACACTTTGAGGGGGACACTTAGGGGGGCAAAAGAGGGACACTCGAAATGTATATTTTCAGGTTCAAAGTGTTATAAGTTTCTTCAGAGTTGATCAATCCGTATGTTTTTGGTCTAAAAATGTGTGCAATACACTTATCCATAAAAATTATCAGCTAGAATTTTGTGATATCCCATCAGCACCGAGAATTAACCCCTTAAAAGGATGTGTCAGCTCCGAGCCAAACTGATATTTTAGTTACTATTGTTATCATTGAATGATTTGTCTATTCTTATGCAAATGTGTTCTCCCCTGTGCTTATCACTTTCATCGCCGAGAAAGCGCGATCCTTGGGATTGCCTAGGAGGACAAGTGAACTCTCACTTGGAGTCCCTTCTTCCCCTTTCACTCATTTGTAATCTATTCGACTTATCGTACTACTGTAAATAAAGATACATATCTTCCGGGTCTATGCAGCTGCAATTCAGGTCGGTCATTTCACAGGGACTCCCCTCTAATACGTTGGAGGAGCTGAGTTGGGTTGTCGGGGTGTTCGGGATGTCAAAAGGATCCACTCTCTTTAACTTCACCCAAATCTTCTAGTCCATATCCGTTTACTCCTAGGAACGAATAGATGTCATTTTTAGTTTTTAATGTAAAAATGATGATTTTTCGGCTTTTTGGAATTAAAAATCAGACGGATTAGAAAAATCCTTCCAAATTCGTGTTCAGCATACTTTTTTGCATCGAATATCGTATATCGCAAGCAAAATCCACGGCGATCACATTTTTGCTAACATTTCGCGCGGATGTGCACCGACGGCTTGTACAATGACAATTAATTTTTGCTCAACTTTTTAAGAATTTTCTTATTTATTTCGCAAAAAGTTCTTAGTAGCTTTGTCCTAGTTTTCAAGAGGAGATTCAAAGCTATCGAATGACTATAATAATTTAGTTTCCTGCTCATCAAGTTATCGATAAAACAGTGGTGGACGACTACGCAACTGTACAGTTGCGCAAAACGCCGTCACAGCGAATGCGTTAAGCCAAAGGAGGGTGAGGTGAGGTGTAGTGGAAGCAAAACCTGGTCCTAACCTGGACAAGTTGCTTTTTTCAAGTTTACCACCAATTTCGCTTTCAAATTCCCCAACAATTCATCATCGATTTTCCTCTAATCAAAAGCTCTCGAAATGCTTGACTTGGCTCAAGCTGTTCTTTCTTTTTCTCTTAAAGCGAAACGAAAGCTCACAGATGGTCAACCTCATGCTCTTTTTCTCCCCCATCCAAATCGTAAACACACTGAAAATTCGAACACATGCACACAAGGAAAAATTTCCGGCTTTGAGCAAAAATTTTACACACTCAATCCAAAGATTTTGACTGAACCAAAAAGAAATTTAGGCTTTTTTTTTCTTTGATCATTTAATCGATTTCCTCTATTTCCCCCTGTTCTCTGTTTTCTCTTTTCTCTTTTCCCCCTTTTCATCAAAAATCTCTTTTTCTCCTTTTCATTTTGCTAATATTGACACTTTCACTTGTTCGTTTTTTTGTAATTTTTAAGATAAAGTTATTTTGAAAAAAATTTCAGATGATCCCATTGATTCAATTTTCTCTGTGCTCACTCTTTCTTCTGGGTTTTTATGAAGCGGCAGAGACAGCTGAGACGATTCCAAGTATTCGATTTTTAGATTTAGAAGAAAATTCGATTTTTCTTTTGCTTAGTTTTCATAGTTTTTGTTGGGTTTTGTTAAGATAAACAAATTTACTTGGTTCACTGAATTCTCAGGATATTCTGCATTTCCTTTCAGTAAAGCATGGCTCAAAATGGTATCCAATGCTCACAAAAAGAACTGAAGCAAGAAAAGGAAGGAGTTTGAGTTTTGGCAGACAGCGGAATCGAACCCTGGCCTCGATTTTAGAGTCTAGTAGACTAGACTCTAGGCAGGCGCTGCTTTTGGTGTAATAGCACCCTCTTATAGATTGCGGTCAAATATTTTCAAAATGCTTGAGCACGTTTTTCTCGAAAACTCGATGGGGAAAAATAAAAAATCCAGTTGAACTTCGGTGAACCAAATAGGAATTATCAAGGAACTAAATAGGTTTGAAATTCTAAAGCCTGCTTAAAGCTGGCGTAACTGCGTAACTGCCTCAGTCAAATGCAATCAGTGGCCGTCCAGGGCAGAAAATTTGCGGCAGGTTCATTATATTGAAGTTTCTCGAGCGATTCGTTATTTCGAAGTTCAACGGTACATATTTAGAATCTACGGGAGCTGCTTAGAATTCTACGGGAGCTGCTTAGAATTCTACGACTTTTTGTAGCAAGATCGGATTTAGAAAATAGTTATTACGTTGAAACAGTTTAGTAAGACAAAATCAAACAATCTGAACTTCAAAAAGCAAACGTTTGCAGATTTTTCGATCTCAAACAGCGATATCTTGAAGTTAGCTGATCAGTTGAGAGCACAAGACGAGAATAAAGCGAAGAAAGGACAGGTTTGATTAAATGATATCATAGCGAGAGTTTTTTCGATCGGATAAGCCAATCAAGTCAGAAATTGGGTTCAGATTTGTCACAGATTGTCACAGATTTGTCACAGACACAGATTTGTCTTTTGGTTGGCCAGTTTAAGGCTAATTAGAGTCATTCTTGCTCGAAAGTCGAAGTTCTATTGGAGTCGAAATTCGGCCGAACTTTAAACCCACTTTCTCCTTCGTAAAGTCTTCTTTAAATCCACGTTTTCTTTCAGGCTTCACTATTTGTATTTTCAGGCTTAAAAGACTTCACTATTTGTCTATAAAATGAGCTTTCAAAGCTTCTATAAAGCTTTTTTCCTAGAGTTTATCGACTCCCAAAAAGTAGCTAGTGAAAATGGCATCGTTTGACGAGTTTCTTCCGCATAAACCTTCTTTAATGTCTCAATGAAAAAGATAGAGCACACTTCATTACATAAGTTGTCAAATTTACAGCAAAATCCCTTTAACCGTTTTCTCTTGGTGACTGTTTAAAGATTTTATGAAAGAATGAAACTTTGAGCTGGGGCGCTGTTTGAGTTCTCTTTTAAAGGCTATTTTGTAGAGAATTCGTTAATCTTTCTATTGATATAATTTTTTTCGAAATTTCTATGATTTTCTTCACCATGTCATTCTCCTCAGCCCAATATTAGACGCCGAAACTTGGAAGGAAAAAAGAATGTTTCAATCGGACGCTGTTGATTTGTAAATCAAGACAAAACTGAACCCCTGACTTGATCTTGAATATTGGGTTGGTGATTTGAAAACCTAGCTTTACCGAAAAGAAACCAAAGCTTTACCGAAGGAGCCGAATCTGTACCAAATCCAAAACTGAATCCAAAACCATTGGGTTGGTGAATTGAAAACTGCAGGACTTTGAACTAAAATTTATTCAACATAAAGCCATGAATTCATTCCAAATAATTTCCATTATTATTGACGACTTCTGCCCATTTTACAGGCAATTTGCGGATCCCTCTTTCGTCGTAGGATTCTGGTTTGTGTGTGAGACAAGTGTGAGACTCAAGAATGGAGGACTGGAGATGTCAGCCGTCAGCCCAGTTTGAGCACTTTCTTCAAAAGAAACCCATTCTGGTGTCAATAGAAAAGTTGTAGAGAATCAAAAATGAGGCTTATAGCCAAATTTCCAAAAAGATTAGTAGTTTCGTTTCGAATGCAGTCTTGTGAAAATTTGGATATAAGCTTGATTTTTGATTCTCTACAACTTTTCCATTGACACCAAAATGGGTTTCTTTTGAAGAAAGTGTGAGAACTGTCACAGATGACAATAGCCGGCAGTTTTCAATTCACCAACCCAATAGAAATTGATTGCTTTCTCATTTTAACACAAAATTTATCAATAAAACAATAAACAAAAAAAAACAAGTAAAACAATACTTTCAATCGAATCTGACAAAGCAAATGATTTGAAAACAAAAAAGAAACGACGACGCGGCGCTCCCATCAACTACCTCCAAATGGCGGCGACGTCAATTGGAATGCGACGTTGCGCGAAAATTAAGCTTTAAAAGGAAAATCTTTTTGGAAATTTGGATATAAGCTTGATTTTTGATTCTCTGCAACTTTTCTATTGACACCAAAATGGATTTCTTTTGAAGAAAGTGTGAGAACTGTCACATATGACAATAGCCCGCAGTTTTCAATTCACCAACCCGATAAATCAAGACAAAACTGAACCTCTGACTTGATCTTGATCCCTTAAATAGTTAGAAAGAAATCATGAAACTCTAAACCAAAGTCTCTTCCAGATTATCGTGAATTTCCAAGGCCACACCTCAACCCGTGACAGTCAGGATAACGCTGATGGAAAGTTTGTGAAAAGCGAAAAACAACGATATCCTCATTTAGATTTTTCACGAAAGTCGATCAATCTCTCCTCCGGAAATCAACTTACGAGCAATTCTTGAAAATGTGCAACAATTTCGAGCGCCAAACCGGAATCAAAGAGCCGAAAGTGACAAATCAAGAAGTAGAAGTGATTTCAAATAAATCAATCGATTTTTTCTAGGAAAAAACGGAAACCACTCAGTTTATCGATCTCGTTTTCCAAACGAAACCCTGGAAAACGTTGTACGAGTATTTCCATAAGAATCGTGAGTTTTTTTGCTTTTTTTTTCTAAGAAAATGCAAAAGATCTCGACCACGGAAGGATTCGAACCTTCAATCTTCTGCTCCGTAGGCAGACGCGTTATCCATTGCGCCACGCGGCCTTGAGACGGTGGCAGCGAGAAAAGGGTGAAAAGTCGGTGGGTCGGCTTTTTCCACCAAAAAACAACAAGGGAGTTACGCAAGAGAGAGAGAAAAACGCTAAAGAAAATCGATTTGGTTACAGAAATTTTAAGAAATGTTTTTAATTTTTAAAACCTAGAAGTAATTTGGCTTTCAAAATCGTATTTCAATTCGATTTTGCTATATTTTTATTAGGGAAAATCTAGTTGAACTCTAGCTGAACTTAGCTGATAAGCAAAACATCTTACCTAGCAATACAGAAAAATCTACGCGTCTTTCAGTATAAGAATTTTCATTAGGGAAAATCTAGCTGAACTCTAGATAAGCAAAACATCTTACCTAGCAATCCAGAAATCCGGGGGGTAGTCAAAACAGCGCCATAATAGAAAACGTTCAAAACAGCGCCGTCAAATTTCTCACAGTCCAAAAAAGCCAAGCCGGTTCAAGTTTTAGATCAAAAAATTCCTTGCGTTCTTTGCTACATGATGGGTGAAACAGTTTTTTAAAAGAGTTAATATTTCGTAGATAAAAAGAGCACTCAAAATGGGTCTCTAAAGATATTCAGTTAACCAACTGAGTTTTCACTCGACCAAATTGTAGCCACCGCACTTACTAGGGCTACCAATTCACCAAATTGTAGCTATCGTACTTACTAGGGATACCAATTCACCAAATTGTAGCCACCGCACTTACTAGGGATACCAATTCACCAAATTATAGCCACCGCACTTACTAGGGATACCAATTCACCAAATTGTAGCTATCGTACTTACTAGGGCTACCAATTCACCAAATTGTAGCCACCACACTTACTAGGGATACCAATTCACCAAATTGTAGCCACCACACTTACTAGGGCTACCAATTCACCAAATTGTAGCCACCACACTTACTAGGGATACCAATTCACCAAATTGTAGCCACCACACTTACTAGGGATACCAATTCACCAAATTGTAGCTATCGTACTTACTAGGGATACCAATTCACCAAATTGTAGCCACCACACTTACTAGGGATACCAATTCACCAAATTGTAGCTATCGTACTTACTAGGGATCGTTGTTTTTTTACCACCAAGTTTCGAATTGCACTAATTATCTAACCGCGCGAATATCGAGCCATCTTGCGCTTTTCGACATGTCGCTAATAGATAAAAATATCGAACCTCTAAAGATATTCAGTTAACCAACTGAGTTTCACTCGACGCACATTTTGAGTGCTCTTTTTATCTATGAAATATTAACTTTTTTAAAAAACTGTTTCACCCATCATCTAGCCAAGAAGACAAGGAATTTTTTGATATAAAACTTGAACCGGCTTGGTTTTTTGGATTTTGAGAAATTTGACGGCGCGCTGTTTCGAACGTTTTCTATTATGGCGCTGTTTTGACTAGCCCCCAGAAATACAGCAATAAAGAAATACAGCAATAAAGAAATACAGAAATACAGAAATAACAGCAATAAAGAAATACAGAAATACAGCAATACAGAAAAAAATCTACGCATCTTTCCGTATAAGAATTTTCAGACACAAATTTCAGAACACCCATTTGCTTCGGATCCTACCACATGGCGTTACTGGATTGCTCAACTTTGGTTCGTGCATTACTCTAGGTAAGCTTCAAGAATTAGGACCAGACTGACAGAGAATTGGGATCAGACTGAATCCAATCCAATCCAATCCAATCCATTACTGTAACTAGTTTTTTCAGAGCTCGTGGCTTGGCGGATACCTCCGGTTTCGAGCACGTTTTCATGGGAGAAGCAAAAAATGGAGAAGTCTCCGGGATGCACAATTGGATTCGCATGTATTATTTGGAGAGAAACTCCACTGAACAATTCGACTACAAAGGATTTCTCGTAAAACGAGGAGTATGTTATGATTTGATATTTGATTTGATAGAAAAGCTTTTCTAGAATTTGATGGGCGCACTCAAATTCTCGTGGCACAGCGAGATGAAACGCTCGGGATCGCTGTTGATTGGAACGAGTCCCGAATTCGATTTGGCTCTCTACACAATGTGCTTCCTTTCGAGGAGGGGAAGACAGACTTGTGATGTGAATGAAGAACAATGGACTAGTTTACAAAAATTTCAGGTCGAAATTGATGGATGCAACTTGTCGATCACGAGCTACGATATCAGCCAGCAGGGAAAGGTCTCTCAAACGACTTTTCACTTCAACATTAGCCGTTTTCAGATTTATATCGGCTCGATTTTTCCAAGTGCTGGCCGAATGAACGACAAATGTCGCCAAATGAATAACAACAATTAATTTGTAAATGTAAAGCCAACCGTTTTTTCAACTCTCTAAAGCCAACCGTTTATGTACACGTAACAGATGAACAAATGAACAATTGACTTGAATGCTTTGAGTATCCTGATTGCCAAAGATGTGAAAAAGGGGAATTTCAGTCTACAGATTTCAACGAATAAAACAATACAGAAAGCTAATAGAAGAACAATTCAAAATAAAGTAATTGTTGGCAGAGTTATGGGCACTGAGGCTAAACAATAGCTAGTTTTTGAATGGTTCTGAAAATTTGGATATAAGCTTGATTTTTGATTCTCTACAAAAAAAAAAAGCTAGAGATATGTTTAAATGAAGCATGCATAAATAATTTGATTGAATCTAGATGTAGTAAGTTGTTGAACATGTAGAGGAAGTGCCATAACGCTCCAGACATCTAAAAGTAAAAATGACGCTTGTTTTGTTTCAAAAGCATAAATTTTTACTTGCTGAAACTGCTTACCATGCACTCTTAGTATCTGCGGATGGCGCTTCCAGCGGGCTCGTAGTAGAAACAGATGTAGATTGCATGAATCATCCCTAAAGAAATGATACATAATGTAACAGTAGATAAATATATGTTGTTTCATTTAACCATATTCTCTGAACGCTCAACTAAAGTCTAAAAGCTTTAACGATCTTTACCTAATCTTTTTACAACGCTCAACGAGCTCTTAAAAAACGTTTTCTATCTACCTGCAAAAAGCAGGGATGTAGATTCACATTGGGAAGCTTAAAACTGTTTCTAAACAAAAAAAAACTTACCAGGAATGTAAGCAAGAAACGTGAAGAGAATGTTAATGCAAAAGTTGATGTCACAGCCCGAATGGATCAGCACGGCCAAAGGCTAAAAAAAGAAAATAAAATAAGCAGATAAATTTTAGCATTCCAAAGTCAAAAAACTATTTCAACAACACCGATTTATTCTTATCCCATATAAGCCGCTGTTTAAAACTGACTGGGAAAAGAATGCAAAGAATGAGCAAAAGGCACTTGCACATCTTTGAGCAGCTTCAGCAAATCTAAATTTGAAATGTAAAACTTTAAGCCAAAAGTTCGGAAAATCATGAGTTTACGAATAGAACAGGAATTAAAGAGTTAAGAAACAAAAAGAAAGGCAAAGGAGAGGACAAAGAAGCGCGAAAAGTTCGATTGCCGATTGACATGATTTCCGGTTCGAAAGGTGCCCGGGTCTATTTTTGGTTGACTCAGAGAATAAATCAATACTCGGCAGCTTCTCGAAGGCAAAAAAGAAGTGGCAATCAAATGCCCTTTTGGGAAGAATGAGAAGTAGAAGAGTTCGAAAAAAACAACCAATTTTTGAGCGGAGAGAAAAACAAGCTACCAGAATTCCAAAGATCTCACATCGGCAGGGCTTTGGTGCTTAAATAGATGAATTTCCCTTTAAACTTACCCAATCCTCTTAAAACTTCATGTGTTTTAAAGTTTCTAAAGGCAATTATAAATCTTTATTAAAGATACCCGTTATTATCGCAAAAATTAGTTCACAAACAAAAAAAATGCACAAATAGACATTGACGCAAACCTTAGGATAAATACTTTCGTCCGTAGTAAATTGCTTTCTGTTCAAAAGCCGGCGATCGAATCGGCGCGTTGATTTCATGGAATGGATTCATCGTTAATTTCACAAATGTCTCGTAGATTTCCTGAAAGTAGAGGATTTTGCAAGGAAAATATGCGTCAGAGCTATAAATTAAAAAAAGAACAATTGCTTTTGAACAACTTTAGAACAACAACAACTATAATATTGCACAAGGATTAAACGACCTTGACTGAATGTAATTGTAAAAGTTTCACAACCGCATTTTGTCAAAAATACAAAAAATATAGTACAGCAACCTGCCTTTTCACTATATCAGTTGCTATAAAAAAATCAAAATCAAATTATCTACCTGGAAAAATTGCTTAATTCCATCTTCGTTTTTAACCGTGTGCAACATCATAAAACGTATTCTGCTTGCCGTCACAAATGAAGAGACAAACCATTCGTTGAATTTGTCGATTGTCTAAAAAAATACCAGATGAGAACTTGCAAAAGTCGTTTTGAAATGAAAAGCAGCTTTCTAATAATGTTTTACAAATCAATCCTGTATAGTTCTCTTGAAAGCGATTATCAACACCATTAAAAACACATAATATACGTTGACTTTTTTTACTATTGGGCCAATGCATATGAAATGGCTAGATTTTTCCAGATTTCCCCAACCAATCACTAGATTCTAAAAAGTTCTTTTATGATTTGTTTTGTTGCTGGTTATGCAATAATCAGCTTTTTAACCAACGATGAAAGATCCCAGCTGTGGAACCATTTCAAGCAATCATGATTTTCATGAGCATTTTCAATAAAAAGCTAATTCATTAAGAAATCCCAGGCTTTATCGCTTCTTATTTTCAAAAGTCAAAAAAACATATTCATTCACTGAAATCTTTAAATAGAAACATACTGATTAGAAAGATATCGAGCTAATAGAACTTTGGCTTAAAAGAACATCAAAGTTGAGTTGACCCGAATGATCAAAAAGTTTCTCCGTCATTTCAAGCCGAATCGAAAAGTTGCCCCGCTGTTATTAGCTTAAGATCATAACTTTCCATTCTAACCAAACAGAAATTAGATAGCTGCGCTGGTGGAGAAATTGACATGGATTAGCCATCTCATATGCATTCACCCAATAGAAACTAATCAAAAAACATACTTACTTTTAATTACATATTTTCAGTGGCTAATATTTGCTCGTCAACGATGTCAAGTACGGCATGAGCGATTAACTAATCACCCAATAGAAACTAATCAAAAAAACATAATACTTTGGTGGTTGGGAAAGGCCACTTTTATCCTGGCTTAGTTGGATCTAATGTTTTGAGTGGTTGTATTGATCTTTTATCTATTTTAGGGTAATTAAATATGCTTAATAGATTGGTGAGCAAGTTTTTGGCAATTCTAGCCTAATCTCATGTACTTTAACCATCACTTTTATCTTGGCTCCGTTGGATCTAATGCTTTGAGTGGTTGTATTGATACCTTTTATGTAGTCTAGGGAAATCAAATACGCTTAATAGATTGTTGAGCAAGTTTTTTGGCAATTCTAGCCTAATCTCATGTACTTTAACCACCAAACGCTAGCTTAAAGCTGCTTACAATTGAAAATCAAATAAAAGCAGCAATATGAAACTTGACACATGTTGTAAATGCTCTAAAAGTATAAGCATTTTTGATTCTCATAGAATAGGTAGATAAAAAGTATCAATACAATCATTCAAAACGTTAGATCCAACTAAGCCAGAATAAAAGTGGCCCCTCCAAACCACCAAAGTACCAAAAACATACTTACTTTTAAATACATATTTCCAGTGGCTAATATTTGCTCGTCAACGATGTCGAGTGCGGCATGAGCGATGAATTGATTGAGGTGTCTCGTCTCATCGCGTTTTTTCTTCTCACCACCAACCTAAAAGAAATTTATAAAACCATATTGATTTCTAAAGAAACTTTGACTAATTTAAAAGCAAAAACCTACCGGAAAGTCAATCTCGTAGAGTGGTTGATCGTTGTGGCCAACTATGACGAAATAGTACTCTTTGGACATAAATACCTTAAATTAAAACAATTTATGGTTCAAATGAAATGAATAAAATCTAGAAGCAAAGGTTTTTCAAAGAAATTAGAGTAAAAAAAGAACACAGAGTTTTTCACTGTGAGAGCTCTATTTAAAGTCGAATTTTGTGAACAGAGGAGCTGGGTACGGTAGCTCATCCACGCTCAGGCTGTCAGTTCAATCAAATTCCGCCGACAAAAGCATTGTTACAAAAGTTTTAGGTAAAAATGGTCTAGCTTTCAAAATATCAAATTAAAATTAAACTACTCTAAGAAAGCTTTAAGCCATGATCAGCTAGTAGTTAAACAATTAACAAAATAAAGAAAGCACATTAAACAGAACTAATCGCATATGTCCTTTGAAGTCGATCGTATGTTTAGATTATTGTAGGTTGGTTTAGGGTTCTGTAGGTTGCTTTAGGGTTCTGTAGGTTGCTTTAGGGTTCTGTAGGCTGCTTTAGGGTTCTGTAGATTGCTTTAGGGTTCTGTAGGCTGCTTTAGGGTTCTGTAGATTGCTTTAGGGTTCTGTAGGTTGCTTTAGGGTTCTGTAGGTTGCTTTAGGGTTCTGTAGATTACTGTTTTTGTAAAAGAATGTCTCTAATCCGTTTTCTAAAACGTGTCTCTTTTCTTTTCTCTAATTTTATTCAATTCAATTCTTTGTCTGATTCTGTGAGGGTTTAGAAAGGATATCGAAGTTGATCGATTCATTGATAGATTAAAAATAATGGTTTAAGGTAAAGTTGAGCACGTTTTAGCAAAAGCAAGAACACACTCTGATCACTTTCTTCTTCTTTGTCTCAAAAATTGAAGACATTGAACCATTGACCTACCGGATTTCATAAAAGTCCATCGAAAAAACAAAACATGACGAGAGATGTAGCTGGTTTTTGTCAAGTGCCGGCATGGATATTGTCAAAAGCAAAAGGAAAAGGAAAAGACAATACTCAAATCGAGGAAATGAGAAGAGAGCAGATCTGCGTCACCCCTTTCTGTAAACGGTTCGCGGACCAGCCACAGCTAAGCAAGCAAGCAGTAGTCAAAGGATCCCAATTTCCACACACAAAGGCCTCAATATTTCCGAAATTCCATAATTATTCACCATTAGTACGATCTATTTTATTATTCTATTATCTATTTTCGAACTTTGGATGTTTTCTGAAAATTTTATCGGGATTTCTATTGAGGTCATCACTTAAGGTGAGTTTTTGAGTTATCAAGCTACTAGTATCAAGATTTTATACAGTTTTGATTGATTTTGATTGATTAATACTGATTTTGAACTTAAAATTATCCATATTTTCCATTTTATTTAAGACTTCTCTAGCTTTTTCTCTTCTCTAGCTTCTTCTTCTCTAGCTAATCCAAAAAGCTTATCACAAAAGCTAAAAGATAGTAAAGAAAAGTAAACTTTGTTTTGTTTTTTTGAAAACAAAACAAATAAAGCTTGAATTTCCAAGGTTATAGTTGAAATTTGAGTAATAAAAATAAAAAAAAGCAAACAAAATCGGAACACAGAAAGTTTTCAAAGAATATTGAGTATTCTTGACTATCTTTTAGCATAGTAAATCGTCAAATTTTTCGTACAATAATTTGAATTTTTGTAAACCCTAAGCTTCTGGCATAATAAACAAGTTTAAAAGCCCCTTATTTTCTAGCTAAGCTACCAGTTTTAAGCTCCTTTAAAGCTCCTTTAGAGTTCCTATTTAGTTCCTTTAAAGCTCCTTTAGAGTTCCTATTTAGTTCCTTTAAAACTCCTTTAGAGTTCCTATTTAGTTCCTTTAAAGCTCCTATTTAGTTCCTTTAAAGCTCCTTTAGAGTTCCTATTTAGTTCCTTTAAAGCTCCTTATAGTTTATAAATCTAGTTTTATCGTCGAGTTTCAAGATCCAGTTCAAACCCCAGCTCAAACTCCAGTTTTAAAGCCTAATTTTCGAATTGCAATCTTTCTGAAATCGTAATTTTTGTACCTAACATAGTGAATCAACTTTCTAGCATATTACATTGGAATCTTTATGTTTTAGCGAATAAAATAAACAAAATTCTAGCTCTCGGATGTCCTATAATCACACGAGTAGCACGTACAATTCTCGGAATACTGGCGAGAATTTTATGCGAAACAATTTTCATTATGTAAACACGGCACGGGCAAGCTCACCGAATAGCAAGATTTCGTTCAGCGGAAGCAGGTTAGCAATTGTACTCTGAAAAAATGAAAAATTTCTTACCAAACTTAATAATAGACGCCATAGCCATTTATTTTTCATTTTTTAAATCCAACACCGTAGTCCTAGGTTTTCCCAAACTTTCAAGAGTGTTTACACCGAAATTTCCTGAGTTATGATGTCAATAAAGGTTTTCAAGCGTTACCTCCAATTTAGAAACTCTTTTTTTCAGTGTTTCTATTAAGAAAAACGAGTAAAACCCTATTGAATTATATACGATTTTGTAGAGAATTTCATTTCCTATTAAATGATACTAAAGTTGTAGAATACTAGAATAAAAGAAGAGAAATTGTAGAATAAAAACCTGGCTTGTTACAGCAATAGTTCTAACGCCGGACGTCCGATTTAGACACGGTGTCCGATTTAGAACTAACCAAAGTAGTTTCAGCACTCTTTCAACTAAGCTTTTGATATGAATAGATGCAGAATCATCAATAACTATGGTAAATTTTTTGATTGAGCTAAATCCGATAAAAGGGCGAAAAGTTAGAGCCAAAATACTGAACAAGGGAACAAATCAGTACCAGCAATAGTTCGAAATTGGACGCGGCCGTTACTTTTGATTTAGAACCAAGGTACTTCTAGCTCTCTTTTAAATAAGTTTTTGGTACTAATAGATGCAGAATCATCGACAATTATGCTAAATTTTTTGATTGAGCTAAATCCGATAAAAGGGCGAAAAGTTAGAGCCAAAATATAGGGTGAAAGTTCTGTTCTTTTTAAATTCTCTTTAATTGAATTCTGTTTGTTATTATTTCTTAAGTGTTTATAGCCAAAAGATACCCAATCTTTTACAGAATTTAAATTTGATTTCAGTTTTTAAATACCTCCTTTAGATTTTGAGTTATCACAATTTACATGAGCTCCGTGGTCGCACGAGTTATTAGTATTACCAATATAAGAAAATCTGTCAAACTTGGAACTCAGAGTATTTCAAAACATTGTTTATCAGTTCCAAACTAGAAATCCAACAATAGTTTTCAATAAGTTTGTAACTTTTCTAGAAATTTTGCAATAAAAAAGCACAAAAATATGTGCGACCACAGAAACTTTTTTCGAGAGCGATAACTCAAAATCTAAAAAAGTTATTTAAAAACTAAAATAAGATTTAAATTTTGTAAAAGATTAGCTATCTTTTGGCTATAAACACTTATGAAATAAAATCGATTAGGAAGCTTTTAGAGGATTCTAAAAAGGACACAACTTTCGCCAAACGACGATTTTTTCGAAGAGCAGCGATAACTCAAAATCTAAAGGAGATATTTAAAAGCTGAAATCAAATTTAAATTCTGTAAAAGATTGGGTACCTTTTGGCTATAAACACTTAAGAAATAATAACAAACAGAATTCAATTGAAGAGAATTTAAAAACAACAGAACTTTCACCCTATATTTTGGCTCTAACTTTTCGCCCTTTTATCGGGTTCAATCAAAAAATTTACCACATTTATCGATGATTCTACATCTATTAATATCAAAAGCTTAGTTGAAACAATGCCGGAAGTACCTTGGTTTTTAAATCAAAAGTAACGGCCGCGTTCAATTTCGAACTATTGCTGGTACTGATTTGTTCCCTTGTTCAGTATTTTGGCTCTAACTTTTCGCCCTTTTATCGGATTTAGCTCAATCAAAAAATTTACCATAGTTATTGATGATTCTGCATCTATTAGTACCAAACACTTATTTAAAAGAGAGCTAGAAGTACCTTGGTTCTAAATCTAAATCGGACGCCGGTCTAAATCGGACGTGATCACTTAAAACGATTCTAAACATCAAGAAAAATCTTGGAAATTCGGGATTGAAGTTAACAAATCCGAAAAAGTGATAATTTTTGACTAGAAGTGGTCTTTTATTGAAATAATTACAGTATTTAAATAAAGTTTAGAGAAAGCGGTTTAGAAAACATTGAAGAAGAGCGGTTGGTTCAGATTAAAACTGTACCAGTTTTGTGTTACCAGTACTGTACCAGTCTTAAAACTGTACCAGTTTTAATTGTAGTCGTTGTTCGGGTCTCTGGGATTATATCAAAAGAGCGCCGTGATTAAAAGGACGCCAATGCAAATAAAAGAGTGCCAAGCCTAGTGCCATCTTATTAACTTCAACCACTAACTGCGTTTTAACCTTTTTTTTCTTGTTTCCCTATTGAGAAGCGTCTCTAAGACACTTCTTTTTCCTACAACTGAATAAAATAAACAAAAATTTATACAAAAACTAACTTACCAATCAATTGCTATCATTTGACATTTAAAAATTTCATTCTTTCGATATTCGTAACCATTGTCATCCATTGCCATTGCCATTCGTAAATAAGCGTTCGTCCTTTCTGCGTTGAAACCATTTCCCACTAAAGAATTGAACAATCAAACAATCGTTAATCATAAATAGAACAATTCTATAGTTTTAAAAAAGCCAAAAACTGACCGAAAGACAGGAAATCGTTTTTTTCTCGAATTGACGACATTTCTTTATCTAAAATTTAAAATTTAGACAATAAATGAAAGCAATTAACAAAAAGAACAAAAAGCAAACAATTCTTTTGATAAAATGGGCCTTAGAAATAGAAATGCGATCAAATGCGCACTCGTTTCTGCCAAAAGCAACGGTTTTCAGACAAAAAGGTTAGCTGGCGAGCTAACTTTTATAATAATAATACTTTATTCAAACGATAAAGTGAAAGAAATCATAGAGAAATGCACAGTGATACTTAATCATACAATACATACTGAAATCAATAAGCCAATTACTTACGGCAAAGAGCCACTAGATCTAAAGCATCGATACGTTTCTTGAATATGAAAAGCGACTGAATTTCTCGTATGTCGTTTGGGAGCAAGTTTTGTATATTTTTTGCTAGTTTGCTATGATTTTAGGTATGTAAACGACTGGCGAATAGAAAAAGATAAATGTAATAAAGATAATGAAAATAAATCAAAATAGCTAAAGAGCACAAAATTTTTGCAAACTAGCAAAAAAATAAACAAAATATAGCTCGTGGGTTTTTCGTTCGGGGCTTTTTTTTCGAGGGCTTTTTGTCTAGAAATCAAAACCAACGGCTAATTCGAATTCCTTATCTTTCTTTTTAAGTTCTTTTACCTAAAACATAAGAAAAACAGCAAAAACATCAGGAAAAATGAAAAAAAAATTGGTGCATGAAAATCTAGTTGCGCTCTTTTAAGCGTTTTTTGCATTGGCGCTTTTTTGAGCGGCGCTCTTTTGATTACGAGCTTTCGATCACGAGCTTTCGATTACGAGCTTTTGATATAGTCCTGAGACTCTTAAAAACCACTTACCGTAAATACTATAATAGTACCCCACCGCCCTCGTACAGTCGCGTAGTCGCAAAAATTTTTTTTAGTATTTCATTTTTTTCAAAGCACCCGTACTTTCAAAAAATGCATCTTTGGTATCAAAAAATAGCCCTGAATTTCAGCTATTTTTTGATAACTAAACGAGCATTATAGCATAAACCAGTGTCGAGAAAAACTCGTTCAAAGCTAGACTACGCAACACTCGGCACCGTCATTTTGGGGCTGGGGTACTATTACAGTATTTACGGTATATTCTTTGTAGTGTTGTAGATGTAAATCAATTCCAATTTGTAAAGCAATATCCACAAAATTTCAGTGGCTCAAAGAAATGGTTGATTGGTGCGCTTGTTCTCGTCGTCTTTCTGCTATTAGCTGCTGTTGTTGTTATTATTCTTTTCGCTACAGGAGGTTTACGATAAAACTTGATTTTATTGTACTTTTTGTACTTTTTGTACTTTTAAACGCAAGTTCTTTAGATATTTGAGGATTTTTTGAAGGTTTTTTTTGAAGAAAATGAGAAATCAAGAAATCAAGTATGTCAAAAAGCGGTTTTTTGAAGCATAAAGAGTTAATTTTTTGTAGAAATTCATTGAATTGAATTTATTTAAGTTCTCGTTTTCTTCAGTTTTCGACTCCGAAGCCGTCCCTCAAACTCAAATTTTCACACAAGCACCGATTGTCGATCGTTTTGTGAACAAAACCTACACTTGCCAGGTTTTCATTCTAAAACAAGCAAACGATTACTACGATGATCCGATGAGTTTCTACACGATACAGGCAAAGAGAATGGCTACACAAGCGGTAAATGGAAATAGGTAAAGAATGGAACCATACAGTAATCCTAGCTTGTGACGGTGATGAGTCGAACACCGATTGCGCCAATGGGATTGAGGACGGAGTTGGTGAATATGCAGAACAGGTGAGAATGCTTGAATTGCCTTGCTTGAATTGCTTGAATTGCCTTGCTTGAATTGTTTTCATATTGTAATGTAAAATACAGCTTTCTTCAGCTAATTTGACAAATAGAACTCGAACTAGAGAATTTGTTAAATATAGACTAGAACTAGAGCTAAAACTTGCGGGATACTGTACTTGTCTTCAATCCAAAGCGTATTGAGCCTTGAGCCTAGAGCCTAGAGCCTTGAGCCTTGAGCCTTGAGCTTTTTAAGTTCTTTGGAATACCGGAGCCAAATGTTAGAATGGAGAATCACTCTTCAAAATCGAAACATTTAATCTTTTCAGTGGAAACGACGTGGCAATGACATTTCGTTTGCGCCTCCGTGTTCCCGCATCGTCCGATCTCACCGCAATCGTGATTAGAAATACGGTGTTGACGCCGAGAACGCTCAACGATTTGGGTGGGTTTTGAAACTGTTGTATTCGCGTGTGGCCGTTGAAATGTTCGAGTGACAGATCCAATTGATGCGCGATAGAGAATAGAACAACAGTTAAATTTATTCAAAATAGTAAAACTTGAAATAGAAGAAAGAGCTCGACCAAACAAAAACGTTGTGAGAAACAAAATGAGAATTTAACGACTACACAACGCTCCTTTAGACGTCGCGACAAAAATACACGGTTTAGAAAACACGGCCAAACAAATCTGTGCGAATAAACATACATTCCAACAAAAGCAGGCTTGCTTCTTAGAAAATTGATTTTTTTGTATATTGTTTCGTTTCAAGAATTGTTTCAAGAATTTACCATAGAGAAAAGGGAGGTGCCTGTCCGTCCGTCTGTCTGTCTGTCTGTCCGTCCGTCTGTCCGTCCGTCTGTCCGTCCGTCTGTCCGTCCGTCTGTCCGTCCGTCTGTCCGTCCGTCTGTCCGTCCGTCTGTCCGTCCGTCTGTCCGTCCGTCTGTCCGTCCGTCTGTCCGTCCGTCTGTCCGTCCGTCTGTCCGTCCGTCTGTCCGTCCGTCTGTCCGTCCGTCTGTCCGTCCGTCTGTCCGTCCGTCTGTCCGTCCGTCTGTCCGTCCGTCTGTCCGTCCGTCTGTCCGTCCGTCTGTCCGTCCGTCTGTCCGTCCGTCTGTCCGTCCGTCTGTTCGTCCTTCTGTCCGTCCGTCTGTTCGTCCTTCTGTCCGTCCGTCCGTCTGTCTGTCTGTCTGTCTGTCCGTTCCTCCATCCGTCCGTCCGTCCGTTCCCCCATCCGTCCGTCCATCCGTCCATCCATTCGTCCATCTGTCCGTCCCTCTGTCCGTCCGCCGTCCGTCCGTCCATCCGCCTGTCTGGCTGCCTGTCTGTCCGTCCGTCCGTCCGCCTGTCTGTCTGTCTGTCCGTCCGTCTGTCTGTCCGCTTCTCCATTCGTCCGTCCGTCTGTCTGTCTGTCCGTTCCTCCATCCATCCGTCCGTCTGTCCGTTCCCCATCCGTCCGTCCGTCCGTCTGTCCGTCTGTACGGGCGAGTTCTCAACTGCCCATGATTTTTAGTTTCTTATGCTTAGAATTCTATGTAGTTATCTCACATTTTGTTTTAAAAAGCAAAAGTCACGACACAGCGATGGGAGTCGATTAATGAAATTGATTGATAACTATTGATTGATAAAAATTGATTCAAGAATTGAATCAACCACCAATTCTAGGTGCTGCGATGAACAATGTGGCGATCGACACGAGTCCAAATCGAGTTCTCGTGGCTGATGGATGAAAGCGATCATTTCCCGTTCTAGATTATCAAAAGCTTATCAAAGCTGTTGAATAGTTTAACAATAGATTAAAGTTTTTCGAAAATTCCACGATTACTTTTTTTTCCATTGTCGTTTTTGTGTATACAAATCGGGTACAATAAACAGTTTCTAAATTCTGCATTTCCATAGAACAAGAGTTTTTTTGTTAGGCAGAAAATTCCTTATGAACGTTGCGGAACGCTGACTCGTGTGCACTGACAAAAGCGTAACTCAGCTACCGTAACCCAGCCTAGATCTTCAAATTAGTTGTTGGAAAAATGGAAACTACTTAAATTCCTGTAACAACGGCTAGCTTTACAATAGTTGGTCACATTTTAAATCACGATCACGTTAGGGTTACAGTAGTTGAGTCAAGCTTTATGAAATTCAGCTCTATAAGCACAAATAGAAGTGATCAATTGCGAATCTTCAATTTTTCCAAAGATTTATTCAATTTGCTTTCTCGTGGCTCTATTTCGGGCCATTCCCAACAGTTCAAGGGGATTGAGAGATAATGGAAGAAGGATTTCCAAGATCTTCAAGAGATTCAAGAGATCCAAGAGATTCAAGAGATCCAAGAGATTTCTTTCATTCTTTTTCTTTCTCAAGTGCATCGCACGGTCCCTTTTGTGGGGGGAAATTTCATGAGAAAAAGCCTTAAAGGTTCAAGAAAGTGCAAAGGGAATAAAAAGAAAAGGATAAAGGAGATCCTCTTTCTAAACAAGACACATCAAACATCCCCACAAACATCCAGAATTCGTAATCAGATCAAATGTCTTCCCGTTTCCTTGTTCATTTCCGCTTTTGGACTTTCTAGAGTCAAATTCTTATGCTCTGGTGTCATCGCTCTGGTGTCATCGCTCTGGTGTCCAGAGCGAAGCGGCTCGCGCTCCCGCGTTCCCCGTCTTTAGCGATTCCTCCTCTTTCTCACCTTAACCTTTTCCTAAAGCAAATTCTTATTATCAATCTTGTAGACAAGCTACAGTACTCCTTCATCACTTTACTGTCTCCAAGTGGATTCTAATGGTATACCAGTAACTAGTAAGAAAAAGGCTAAAAACTAAACCTGACCAGAAGTCAAAGTCAGCTTGTCTTTAAAATAATTCTGAAAATTCCTGATAATGATTGGTTATAATTTGAGAGATTTGTTAATTTGTTTGATTGGTTTGTTATTTTTTAGTTACAAATAACAATTTGTTAGTTACAAATACCTAGAAATCAAGTTCTTTTTGATCTTTTTGCAAGTTCTTGAAGTGCGGAAAGGAAAGTGCGGCTAAATCATATTGTTTGTGTCTCAAAAGATTCGGAATCAGTCGATATTCGCACATCCAATGTGTTCCTTTGTTTTCCCCGGTTCAGTGAGTGCATCTATTTGTGAAGCTCTTCTCTCACTCTTCCCACCATCTCTGCTTACACGCGTAGTTACCCTTGAAGCTCTCCTCTTCTCAACATTCTCTTTGACTTCATGATTTGTACTCTTTTCACTCATCTTGTTGATTTTTCAGCTTCTATAGAGCTTTCTTCTATAGAGCTCAGACTTGGAAATGCTTTTCTTTCCTTATTGAGAAATTGTTGCGTCTCCTTTTGCAGAAAGTCTCATTTTTCTGTAGTTTTTTTTACTCTTACATAAGGTATTTATTCTAATAGAATCCTAATCTAGACTAAATACCGTAATCCAGCTAATCTTAACTGAATACCTTAATCTAGACTGATAACCCTAATCTAGACTGAATAGGTAATCTAGCTAATCTGGACTGAATACCTTAATCTAGACTAAATACCGTGATCCAGCTAATCTAGACTGAATATCCCAATCATAACTGAATACCCTAGTGGAGAGTGAATACCGTAATCCAGCTAATCCGGCTTTAGACAAAATTTTTCATTTTCTCTTATTTTTTCAACTCTCGAATAGCAAAATGATCAAGTTTTTATGCCTTTAAGACTTCAAATAATAGTTATAGATTAACAAAAAGCTTTATAACGTTGAAAAGCGGTGAAAAATCCAGCAAATAAAGATCTACTTTTGAGCTATTGAAAATTTGGATATATTGCTAGATGGACATTGAAAGTCGGCTCTACTATCGGCTCTACTATCGGCTCTACTATCGGCTCTACTATCGGCTCTACTATCGGCTCTACTATCGGCTCTACTATCGGCTCTACTATCGGCTCTACTATCGGCTCTACTATCGGCTCTACTATCGGCTCTACTATCGGCTCTACTATTTGAAGAGCTCTACGAAGAGTCAGCTCTACTATTTGAAGCTTTACGATGCTTTAATCAATCAATCAATCAATCAATCAATCAATCAGTCAACTAAGTCTTTGATCTTGATTTGTTAAACTTTAGATCACTATCAGTCACTGATAAAATTGAGATTTCTCAAAGTTACCCGACTTTTCTCATAAGAACTTTTCGACTTTTTGCAGGCTAGCCTACCAGAATTCGTCTCGGATTTGAATTGGATCACACTTTGTAAATTTTATATAAGACTTGAGACTAAAAAGTGCTGTGAATCAGTAAACCTTTCGCTCACTAATCCATTTTCTTTCTTCGTTCTACTAGGGAGCTTATTTTAATAGGTTTTTCTTTACTCAAGTCGACCAATCAAAGTCAAACCAAGCTTGCCTTGGTTAATCCAACATTTAATACAAACCCCGCCCCGCGCGTATATAAGCTCTTAAGCCCCGCCCCTTTTCCCATTAGCAAACTAACTTTAAGCTCAAATTTCTTGGTGTTGGGCTTTTCAATTTCATTATTCTGAAGATTGCTAATGGGAAAAGGCGCAGGTCGTATATAAATTGTCCCACAATGGCCCCGCCCCCTCCGCCATTGGCAATCTAACTTTGAGCTCAAATATCTCGGTGTTGGGCTGTCCAAATGAAATAGTTTTTGTACCAATCGATAGAGAAAGACTTGGCGCATCGAACGATATCAAGAATCATAAAATTGGACAGCCCAACACAAAGAAATTTAAGCTTAAAGTTAGATTGCTAATGGGAAAAGGGGCGGGGCTTAGGGGCTTATATACGCGCCCCGTCATACAATTCTTACCCTGATCGGACCTCAAATCAACCTAGATCTAGTCTGGCTTAGGATTTTGATAATCGGACTCATTAATCACATCGACCCGAATTGCTTTAAACCCTAGAACTCTGGCTTTACAAGTCTGAAACGGCAAAGATGTGTAGGACGAGCTCTGAAGTCCTACAAAGTCAATCCTACAAAATTAAAACCCTCATTTTCCTGTACTAGATCTTTTTTTATATTTCTTTAACCTCTTTCTTACCCATTTCTCATCGAATTTCCCCAATATTTACCCACGGGGGTCTATCCATTCTTTTGTCGATTGTGTCGATTGCAAATTCTCCCGTTCTTTCGACGATTGACGCCTGGAGAGGTTGAAAAAGGAATCGAAAAGAAATCCGAAAAAATCGGGAGTCTTTTCTTGACAAAAGTTCGTGGTTGATCTCGATTCGATGGTCCTTTTTTGGTCTTTTCTTTTCACATTTCTCATTTTCATCTTTCCTCAAAAGTCTGTCAGTAATCGCATATTGAATACTCATTCTAAAACGATATTACTTATTAACGATATTAAACGATATCTACTACCGTATTCTCTCTAATAGTAGTGCAGCCTGAGCGTCGCCTAAATTCCTCGAAATCTCGACAACCGCTTATCAGAATCTATCGATGTGGGGTCGGAAAATGTAGCTGACAATGAGATCTAGTAAGGGATTTGAGTGTTGAGTTTTTGCAAAAGCTTGGAAACCGACAAATAGTCATCAACTCGGCTCGGCCAGGTGCATTACTATTAGAGAGAAGGCGGTATTTCTTCATTGATTGAATCGTCCCATTCACCATCTTCCAATAATCTAAATCAACTTACGTTCTGGCATTAGATTATCAGAAAGAATCACTACTATCAGAGAGAATACGGTATATATAAAGAGAAGAGACGTCTGTCTGTCTGTCTGTCCGTCTGACTATCTATCTTTTTGTCTATCTATCTTTCTGTCTGTCTGTCTGTCTGTCCGTCTGACTATCTATCTTTTTGTCTGTCTGTCTTTCTGTCTGTCTGTCTTTCTGTCCTTCTGTCTGTCTGTCCATCTGTACGCAGCGATTGGCAAAAAGGGGCGGAGCTTAGACTGTGCATTCTTACTGTTCGTTCTTGTGGTTATTAATAATTTAACATTTACACGATTCAGGATATTGCTTTTTTCAATAGAATTATGCTCTAAGAGCTGGTTTTATTTTGATTTATTACTTAACAAGAATATATTAATGTCCTGGCTCTGACTCCGGCCCTGACTCTGGCTCTGACTCTGACTCTGGCTCTGACTCTGGCTTTGGCTCTGATTCTGATTCTGACTCTGGCTCTGGCTCTGACCTTGACTCTGGCTCTGACTCTGGCTCTGACTCCGGCCCTGACTCTGGCTCTGACTCTGACTCTGGCACTGGCTCTGACCTTGACTCTGGCTCTGACTCTGGCTCTGACTCTGGCTCTGACTCTAACAATTGATCTAATCTTTAATGTACAAATGTAGGACCAAATCTCTCTTATATAGTAGATTTTTCGTGGAAAAACTCAACTAAATAAAAAGCAATTGTCAAAATAAAAATAACAACAAAAACAATAGCAATAATAATAGCAATAACAATAACAAATTTTAACTTTAAGATGATCATTCACTGCTTACCATAAATACTGTAATAGTACCCCACCGCCCTCGTACAGTCGCGTAGTCGCAAAAGTTTTTAGTATGTCATTTTTTTCAAAGCACCCGTACTTTCAAAAAATGCGTCTTTAGTATCAAAAAATAGCTGAAATTCAGGGTTATTTTTTGATACCTAAACGAGTATTGTAGCATAAACCAGTGTCGAGAAAAACGCGTTCAAAGCTAGACTACCGTATTTATTCTGATAAACGTCGCCCCCCCCCCCCTCGATCAACTTTAGATGCCTCGTTCTCAGCCCGATTTTTTGCTACAATGCGCGCTTAGGTATCAAAAAATAGCCCTGAATTTCAGCTATTTTTTGATACCTAAACGAACATTGTAGCATAAACCAGTGTCGAGAAAAACGCGTTCAAACCTAGACTACGCAACACTCCGCACCGTCATTTTGGGGCTGGGAAATCATTGCGGAGTATTACAGTATTTACGGTAGATTTATCTGCCACTACAATTTAAATCCAATCTGTCCAATCGAACTGTTCAATTTAAGCCTAATCTTGTTAAGTCTTGTTTTCGATACATAAAATTTTCAGCTTCATCTAAAGTCAAAGAATTTCGGGATTTCTAAAGTCACCAATTTTTTTAGAATCAATTTGCGAAACGGAATCGTGGTCACAATGATTCGAATCGGGTTTTGTCCTTTTTTGGGTCACTTCATTTTTCTCTTTCCTCAGTATTTCTCGCCTTTCGTCAATACTCGCGCTCTTTTCTTTTCTCCGATTTTTTTCTTCAGCTCATCGGTTGCAAAGCTCCCACGATTCCGCTTCGGAAATCGCTTCTGGAGAAAAGGAAGCTTCTTTTTGAGCTTTTTTTAAAACTCAATTGATGGTAATTCTTCCTTCTCAAAATGATCACTGTCTTGTCATCATTTTGCAATGAATTTCCAAGTTTTCAACACTATTTTTTGCTTTTCTTGTCAGTTTACTGATTACTTTTCATTACTTTTCATTACTTTTGGTTACTTTTGGTTACTTTTGGTTACTTTTCATTCCCTTTCATTCCCTCGTCATTGTTTTTCCAAATTCTATTGCGTTTTTGCATTTGTTTTCATTTGTTTTCATTTGTTTTTATTTGTTTTCATTTGTTTTTATCATCAATTATTTAGAAAAAGCGATCTTCAACGATTTTCAAGTCTTTCATAGATAAACGAACGATTTCATTTGCCATGCGGCAACTTCTTTTATTGCTGCCGATTGTAGCGGTTGGTTTTTTTTTGCTAAATTAAATTATAGTTAAATTATAGTTAAATTATGGTTAAATTATGGTTAAATTATGGTTAATTTATGGTTAATTTATGGTTAATTTATGGTTAATTTATGGTTAAATTATGGTTAAATTATGGTTAAATTATGGTTAAATTATGGTTAAATTATGGTTAAATTATGGTTAAATTATGGTTAAATTATGGTTAAATTATGGTTAAATTATGGTTAAATTATCGTTAAATTATAGTAAATTATAGTAAATTATAGTAAATTATAGTTAAATTATCTTAAAACTATTTTGAAGTTACCTTAAAACTATAAAAGTTGTGCTATTTTAACCGAGAAATCATAAGTGTTAGGATCCGGTGAAGCTTTTTGAAAGAAATTTACCCTAAACTGGGTTTTGGTTAGTTTAAATCGACTAAACTTGCTCAATAGCTATGATTTTCTTCAATATGTTAGTTCTAAAGCTTTGCTAGATAAAGTTGATCATCTTATAAGCATCTTACAATCATTTTCCAATCATTTTCCAATCATTATCATCAATTTAGGCCTCACAAGCAGTTGTAATCCGTTTGCACGACTCGGGCCTTCGCGCTGCCGCCAATTTCACTCGACAATGGCTTCACATGGCCATGCCACAATTTGTTTTGCCTTCTTTTAAGGTAAATTGGTAAAACTTCAATAAAAATCGTTCTAAAATATAACTTTAGCAAGAATTCTCAACCTCATTTGCAACTGGTCGAATGGCGGTGACGAATCTCTCTGTGCGGAGATTTGTCTCACCGCTTATCCGTTTTCGACCAACCGATCACTCTGTGATGTATATGAGTACGATGAGTGGATATGCACAGGTATTTTTAAAGCTATTTTTGTGAATCCATCAATTAAAAGCCATCATTTAAACAAGATTTCTTTAATACAGGACAAAATTACCCAGAAAACTTTTTGAAAAAGTAGTTGTGCTGCTTGATTTCTTTCATAGTATCAAGTGTTATATATAGAATTGTAGCCCTGAATCTTGGCTACATTTATCTACGAAAAACATTTCAATCAGATGCATACAACTCATTTTGCAAGTCCTTGAATGAGCACGATCCCTATCGCGCTGCCATTTTCAAATTTCCAGATGTGCTGCTTAATTTCTTTCAAAGTATCAAGTGTTATATATAGAATTGTAGCCCATGATCTTGGCTACATTTTTTTACTAAAAACTTTTCAACCAGATTGATACAACTCATTTTACAACTCCTTGAATGAGCACGATCCTTATTCGGCCATTTTCGACCAAAAGCTAAAAGTTAAAATACTTTTTTGTTTTACAAAAGTGTTTTATGGTGCCTAGGTAGTAACTTTTCAACAATTTCAACAATTTCAACAATTTCAACAACTATTCAGAGCCACTTTGAAAGTTTTAGGTGACAGCCGATTGGTCAGTGGATTCACAAGTCCTTTCAATGCTTCGGATACCGCTTGACGGACAGATTCAAGCACAAATGACTGGATTGATCTCCGAAATCGCGATGCAAGTAGGGAAATTTCAAGACTTACAAGGAATTTCTATGGAATTTTCTATAGAAAGAAATTTCGGTACTTTACCGTTACACCTCCCCATTTTGTGGCGCTTTGTGGCGACATATTGAGCGGAAGAGTTTGTAGTAGTATCTTGAACTAAGATAAATAAAAAAACCCACAATAAGCACTAATCTTGAGCTTTGCATGATAGGATTCCTGCGAAGAACTACCAATTTGTTCATTTTGTAATATTAAGTGAAATGAATCAAAAGAGATTGACGTGACCAATATAAATATCTTGGAAAAAGGTGTAGAGGAAATAAAATTTTGAGCATCCTGTCTTAATCTCATACCTGGTTAGAGCTGGTCTCCATCTCCAACTGGATCTCCAACTGGTTAGAGCGAATTGAATTTAGCCCTTCACTCACCAAGCAATGAAAATCGGCTTTCACATCAGTCACAAACGTTAGAGCCATTAATCCTTATATGTAAACCTTGATTGAATGATCCTTGTAAACGTTCACAAGATTGCACTTTTGGCTGACCATAGTAAAAAGTAGTAAAAAGTAGATTGGTGATGCAGAGGAAAAAAAAATGGGGAGGTGTAACGGTAAAGTACTCAAATTTCTATAGAATTTTTGAAAATTTAGATCACTCCCGACAATTCAGTCGAAATGCATCATTGTGTCGCGCAAATTCGCGATCTTCGGCTATCTTTGAGTGGCTCGATGGCAGCTGAAGTTGACAATGGCAATTTTTCAAGAATCAAGTTTTTCAGGTTCTTCATTGGTTCCGCAATAGTCTTACTCGTGCAATTCGAAAGCAATTGGAACAGGTGAGAAATGTAAAAACAACTAAGGTGACAGAAGTTGGTAACTAAACAGCTGGCAACTAAACAGCTGGTAACTAAACAGCTGGCAACTAAACAGCTGGTAACTAAAAAGCTTTGAATTAAACAGCTTTGAACTAAAAAGCTTTGAACTAAACAGCTAAAACAACTAAACTAACAGAAGCTGACAACTAAAAAACTTTCAAATTGGCTAAACAAGTTTGATAAAGAGTAAAATGCTCTGAAACTAAAAGAATTTAAACTATAAACAAATTCTTTTAAAAGCACGAATGAAAGGGATTTAAAAGGAAAACATTTTCCTTAAAATTTCTCGAAAAAAGCAAAAAATTCGACCCAGGCAGGACTCGAACCTGCAATCTTCGGTTTACCCCCAGAGTAGGAGACCGACGCCTTATCCATTAGGCCACAGGGCCATGCCGCATCCCCTCTCTGTGGGGATACTAGAGGAATGGGGGAGAAATTTGGAGAAAAGGGAAAAGAGATGGGAAAAGGGTATTAGTTCAATGAAAAGATTGAAATTTCGTTATTTTCTTATTAAAAAGATTGAAATTTCGTTATTTTCTTATTGAAAAGATCGAAATTTCGTTATTTTCTTATTGAAAAGATTGAAATTTTCTTATTTTCTTATTAAAAAGATTGAAATTTCGTTATTTTCTTATTGAAAATTTTCTTCTTTCAAATAAATTGAATAAAAATCTAGTTTTTATTAGAAAATAATAGGAAAATAGTGAAAATAGTGAAAAATAAATAAAGAAAGAGCTGGGTTTTCATATCAAAAATCGTATTTGAAAGAAAATTTAGATCACTCAATGCATTTTCACTTTGAATTTATTAAAAAATAGCAGAATTCAAGTGTTTAATAAAAGCGATTATGTAGAGTTTGTTTCTGAAATCTTTATTGACTTCTTTATTGACTTTTTACTTCAAAATTTCTTACTTTAGGAATACTGTGACACGATGCGAGTTCATTGGATTCCATGGGTTTCCGAACAACTCGCTCAATTCCCAACGAACATCACAATCAGTCAAAAACCGTCGGTAAGTAGCTTTCGACAATTTTATGATGAAATTTAGGTTGATAAGCTTTAGATAATTCGAATTTTTCCTATAAAGAATACGGCTTATAAAGGGTGTCTCAAGAATTATTGCAAAAAAACGACTGGGTAGTTTCCGCAACTTTTTTTGGCGCAACAGAGTTATTTGCGCAACTCCCCAAAACTTTCTTCTAAGTGTGGCAATGGAGGGCCAATGGGGGGGCCAATGGGGGACCTGACCTAGTGAGGGGATCCTTCCCCCGGGGCCTAATGGTCGGCCCAGGGGGAGGGAGTGCGGTGATGCCAAAGGCATCCTCACACGGCCAGTCTAAGTCGGTCAATCTTTATGATTTTGGTTTCATTTTGTTGCACTTATTGAGATCTACAAAATGAAATCAAAATCATCAAGATTGGATGACTTAGAAGAAAGTTATGGCAAGTTGCACAAAAAAAATTGCGAAAACTAGCCTATCCCAAAACCTGCGCATAAAATTGCTTCTTTTTTTTTACGCGCAGGCGCACTTTTTAGAAAACGCATTAGTCGACAATTACTCGAGCTATTACTCATGCAAATTTACTCGAGTAATTACTTTACTCGCGAGGAACACACTCTAATAAATGCCGCACTCTGTAAGTACTCTGAATAGATTGTTGTTGTTGTTGTTGTTGGTAGCAATTGTTGGTAGCAATTGTTGGTAGCAATTGTTGGTAGCAATTGTTGGTAGCAATTGTTGGTAGTAATTGTTGGTAGCAATTGTTGGTAGCAATTGTTGGTAGCAATTGTTGGTAGCAATTGTTGGTAGCAATTGTTGGTAGCAATTGTTGGCAGCAATTGTTGGTAGCAATTGTTGGTAGCAATTGTTGGTAGCAATTGTTGGTAGCAATTGTTGGTAGCAATTGTCGGTAGCAATTGTTGGCAGCAATTGTTGGTAGCAATTGTTGGTAGCAATTGTTGGTAGCAATTGTTGGTAGCAATTGTTGGTAGCAATTGTTGGTAGCAATTGTTGGTAGCAATTGTCAGAAAGTTTAAAAAACTTGTCTGTTCCAGTAAAAACCTATAAGTTTTAGGTTGTTTTAACTGAATCACCGGAATCCGTCGCTATGACTTCACAATTTGTCGAATTCCGATTAAGAAGTGATCTGATTTGGGATGGACATTTGGTTGAATCGACTCCACAAAGGAATAAAACTGTCATGGAAATTGGTAAAGCTTTTTAAAAGTCAGGCTTTTGAAAAAAAAACTGTCTAGACTAGTTTAAAGAAAGTTGGAAAGCCAAAAAGAAACCAATTTTCACCAATTTTTACTAATTTTTACCAATTTTTACCAAAATTCCCCAAAATTCCCAAAAATTCCCAAAAAACTTTACAAATTTCAATCCAGATTCTCCAATCTTTTCATTCAACAACAATTTTAGATTCCGTTTCGAAAACGCAACGAATGGTGGATATTTTCGTTGATGAGGAAACCGTTCAATCATCAATAGCAGCTGCACATTTTGCTGATCATTTAAAAGTCGGTTATCTGGCTTTTTCTCGGCTCTCTTTTGACTAATAAAGCTAAAACTTTTTTAGAAAACCTAGAATACCTTGTAGTTGTGGATTTAAAATGAAAAATTCAAGAAAAAATCCAAAATCAAAGTTGAATGACAGCACGGGGAGTCGAACCCGGGTAGTATGGGTTGTAGAAAAGAGCGCTGTCGACTGTGGAAAATGGAATAAGGTGAAAAAAAGACCATAAAGCAGTCATTAGATGCAAGAAACCCGTGTGTGTTTTCCCGGAGCAGTTGTAGTAGTTAGCGGGATAGCCGAGAAGTCGGCGAATTGTCTAAAACCCTGAGTTTCTCTTGTGAATCGGTTTGCTTTAAATGTAAAATGAATCAAAAAAAAAAGTCGTGCCTGCGACCTTTCGCTTCCCGAGTAGCAGTGCTAACCATTAAACCACAACGCAGTTGATCTCTCTCACTCCAGAAGGAGTTAAGTTGCATCTTATCGTTTTAATAGTTAGTATTTAAAAGATATTCACCTTTTTATATGGCAAACAGAAAGAAAACCCGCTCTTAAGCTGTTAGGCGGCGATTTTTGGCTAATAAATGAAGAAATAAGCTTGAATAACTCGAAATCTTTCAACTTTTAGACAACAATCGAGTCTCCATTCTTGGATACGCAATGTGATGTGCTTTGTTTGGGCACAGTTGTGCCCGAGTTGGCTCGTGTCCTTCCAAACAAAACTCTTACAATAAATGTAAGTTTTGCTAGCTTTTGAGAAAAGCTCAAGGGCTAAAGCTGTACTTTGTGCTAAAGAAAAGCAGCATTGCTCTCTCTCTCTCTCTGGCACACGAATTTCCCCGTAAACCACGCCAGATGGGGTGCGTTTCCGTTTTCTGAACGCACAAAGAGCAAAGGATAAAGAGCCAAGTATCCGATGGAATCCCAGAGTCTTTTTAATTAAATTTTAGATAATAAATTGCAATTTCTGGCTGTTTGTCAGTGAAATTCTTCTCATTTTATCTATTTTTATCTCCATTTTTATTTAAATACTTTAAAAATTCAGGCAAATTCAGGCAAAAACCCTTTCCCCTCCAATCATCGCTCTCACTCCCGATAAAGCTCTCGTTTTCTTGAACGCTTCTTTGGATGTGAATCCACAACCGAAAACTGATGGAATACCGGATAGCCTTTTAACTGTGAATGTCGAAACTGAATTCGCGTTGAAAGTTGAAGTAAACAAGCAAAAAGTAAGGAAAATTCTTGTTTTTGTTTTAAAAAAAGATCTCTCTTTTTAGGTAAAAGGCAATTTGCATATGTTGAATGCACAAGCGACTTTGGTCGACAGTAAAGTCGGGCTCATTTCACAGCAGGTGACCATAAAGCATAAAATTCTTATCATGAACCCGATCTTACGAACATTTCGGGGCTATTAAAGCCAGAAACGAGATTATTGAAACTATTGAATGCTTATTGAAGCCTAGACCCAGCCCAGGCCCAAACCAGGCCCAGCTCAGGCCCAAACCAGGCCAAACCCAGGCCCAGCGTAGGCCTAGCCTAGGCTTAGCCCAGGCCTAGCCCAGGCCCAGCCTAGGCCTAGCCCAGGCCCAGCCAAGGTCCAGCCCAGGCACTCCTAAGCCGTCAATTTCTCTATTGAAACGAGACTATTGAAACTATTGAATGCGTATTGAAGCCTAGACCCAGCCCAGGCCCAAACCAGGCCCAGCCCAGGCCCAAACCAGGCCCAGCCCAGGCCCAAACCAGGCCCAGCCCAGGCCCAGACCAGGCCCAAACCAGGTCCAGCACAAGCCCAGCTCAGGCCAAACCCAGGCCCAGCCCAGGCCTAGCCCAGGCCTAGCCCAGGCCCAGCCCAGGCACTCCGAAGCCCTCAATGTCTCATCCAACCCAAAAAGAATTTGAATCTTCAAATTATTAACATCAAATTAGTCGCAAAATAATTCAAAATATCAAAAAAATCAAAAAAAGCAAAAAAGGGATGTCGGCCGGACCCGAACTCGAGGAAAGGCAGCGAAAAGTTCTGTAGACCAGTCTCTTATCCACTACACCATCCAGTTACTATCCGAGCTGCTTTAGAAAGACTCTTTGTTCTCTCCGGCCTTGAAATTCTTTAATTCCCCTCGTTTTTTCTAATTTAGAATCAAAATTTATCTTGAAAATTAGAAAAGAAAAATATTATAACTTTATCAGATCTAAAGCTTTACAGCTGAATTTTTCAAAACATTTTCTTCTCAATCCCTTCTAAAAGCTCACAAAATTTGGGCCCTATCCTAGATGCTAAGTAGTTATGATCCCTAACTGATTCTTTGGATACAATCCTTTCCATTATCTAATCGATCTACAATTTTGCTTTACTAATATCAATTAACCAAAAGTACCGTTATTTGGGTTGTTATTAGTTATTGTTATTTGTTTCATAAGCTATCAGAGTTGTTGAAAAAAAGCTAGGCTATATCTAGCCTAGTTAGCAGGCTATATCTAGCCTAGTTAGCAGGCTATATCTAGCCTAGTTAGCAGGCTATATCTAGCCTAGTTAGCAGGCTATATCTAGCCTAATTAGCAGGCTATATCTAGCCTAATTAGCAGGCTATATCTAGCCTAATTAGCAGGCTATATCTAGCCTAGTTAGCAGGCTATATCTAGCCTAACTAGCAGGCTATATCTAGCCTAATTAGCAGGCTATATCTAGCCTAACTAGCAGGCTATATCTAGCCTAACTAGCAGGCTATATCTAGCCTAATTAGCAGGCTATATCTAGCCTAACTAGCAGGCTATATCTAGCCTAGCTAGCAGGCTATATCTAGCCTAGCTAGCAGGCTATATCTAGCCTAGTTAGCAGGCTATATCTAGCCTAGTTAGCAGGCTATATCTAGCCTAGCTAGCAGGCTATATCCAGCCTAAGCTTAGCAAATGACTTTCTAGTAACTCGAAGCGCTCAATCGATAGCTAAAAACCATCACTGACAAGCGAATCATTCATTTTGACTTTAAAATCATAGTCTAACTTCTATTTTTCCCTAATTCAGCTGCGCTTAACCGAGAAATTTTCGATTTTTGAATCGGGCTTTAGAAAAAGGAAAGATTTTGGCAAATTTTGTAGTAGATTCAAAAGTTATGACTTAGTTTTGCTCAATTTTCTGTTGCAATTTTATAATTTGTTAGAGGATCATGTGATTGATTGAGTAGATTGATTGTTTTGTTATAGTAGATTGTTCTTACACGAAGATCAATCTATTATATAAAAGAGCCGTCTGTCTGTTTGTTTTTCTGCACAGACATTTTCCCAAAACGTGTTTTAACCTAAAATTTCTTTAGAAAACCTTAGAATATCTTATAGTTGTGGATTTAAAATGAAAAATAAAAAAAAAGGCAAAAAAGGCAGCAAGGGGAGTCGAACCCGGGATGTCTGGGCTAAAGGCCAACGCGCTCCCAACTGAGCCATAGCGGCAGGGAAGGTAGGGAAAGATTTAGCGAGAAAAATCCCATTAGGCAGGTTTTTCGGCTGGTAGTTTAAAGGGTAAATTGATGTTAAAATACTTGATATTCGATAATGATCGATATGATTGATGAATTCTATAATTCTATGTATTCTATAAATTTCAGACAGTCGATTTCCTCGTCTCAATGTCAACTCCATTCCTCGAAGACGCCGTCGACATGTGGGTCGGTCGTTACCTAGTCGATGCTCCCGATTTCCCAACGACAAACGAGATCCTCACCATCCATCGCGGTTTCCTCCGCTACGAGGTCGACTTGAACATTCCGCAGTTGATGAATCGACTTGTGTAAAGGGGAAATTCTCACCGAAGCTCACCGAAGCTGAGGGAAAGCTCAATTTGCTCAATTCCAACTGGTTTTATTTTGTTTATCTTGTTTATTTTATTTATTTTATTTATTTTGTTCGTTCTTTCATCGCTAAGTGCTCTTACCGGTGTTTTCTTTGATCGTAATCTTTCAATTCTTTTAAAATACCGTATTTCTTCGAATAGAACACCGGGTAAAGAGTATGATCGCGTACTCCTGCGTAGCAGCCCCCTTTTCTGCATAAAAGCTTTCAATGAAGTGCTATAGAGCTGGAAACATGGCTCAAAAATGGCTCAAAAATCGGTTAGCTCGGTTAGCTCGGTTAGCTTAGTATTTTTGAGTCATTTTCCAGCTCTATAGCCCTTCATTCAAAGCTTTTATGCAGAAAAAAGGGCTGCTACGCAGGAGTACGCGATGATACTCTTTATTCGGTCTTCTATTCGAAGAAATACGGTATGATCGATTGATCGATTGAGTGTAACTTTTATAAAGTGCTCTGTTGTGATTTTTTTTGTTGGTGCAGTCACGCCAAATAAAGCTGAATCTTAGAAAAAGCTAGGGAATTTGTTGTTTGTTTAAAATCGAACACAGGAAACTGATTTATTTGTACTAAATGGATACTAATAAGTACTGTTGTACTAATAAGTACTGTTGTACAGGGTGCGTCATAATTATTGCAACAAGATACTCAAGGCATTGCACACCAAGAAGTTTCACTGGAAGAAGATTTTTAAACAGAAATAGCTTTATTTAACAGTAACAAATAAGGAAACAAGAGATCATATGACCGATATGACCGATACAGATCGATATGACCGCCTTTTGCCTTGATAACAGCCCTTAATCGGTTCGGATATGCCTCCACTGCGGCCCGAATGTCATCTTGAGAAGTCGCCTTCCATCCTTTGGTCAAAGACTTCTTCAAGGTCAAAGAGCAGACATTAGCCTCTAAGATTGCCCAAATCGAAAAGTCCATCACATTGAGATCCGGTGAGTTTGGAGGCCATTCATCCTTGGTTGGCCACTCACACATCACAGGGAAAGTTGGCCACACACCAGTCCTGAACCGTCTTCTTCGTGTGAGCGGGAGCTCCATCTTGCATGAAGGTCCAATTTTGATTGTTATTGGCTTTACACGCCCATAACATCAAATTCTTGACATCACATTCTTGACATCACATTCTTGACATCACATTCTTGACATCACATTCTTGACATCACAAACGGTCTTTGAACTCTTGTTGCAATTATGACGCACCCTGTACTTTAAAAGTACACTAACAAAGACAGTACTCTTTTCAAGAACTGCTACTGCTTTCTTTCAGACTTTTAGATTAGGCTTTTACAGAAAAGTCAGCATCAAACCCTATACAGAATCTTAAATTCAAGTTTAAAAGTAAAAGTACCGTACTTAATACCTATAAAGATTGGTAAAGTTGCTAATTTCAGCTAGACTTAGCTTCTTGCATGCCCTGCTTTAAATAAACTACAACAGATTGTGCAATAGCTTCAACAACAGTTTAAAAATCTTTTCAAATGCTTTATCTCAATGA